TCCTCTCATCACATACCTTCATAATTCATTGCTCTCCTAATCCAGTGCATTTTTACTTTCAGATTTTGCATCATGCAAAAATCTAGAAAAATGTGTTGCATATTGTCTGCGGGTCATCATTATGTAGGCAAAAGTCAAATTGCATCTTTGCCCTAAAGCTCTATTGCTTGCCTGCCTGATGTATGAAATAATGTCTTATTTTGTATAGAATATTCCTCATTTTGTTCATGTACTTCAGTGTGTGAACTCAAAAAAAACCCAAACCCAGATACTTGTTGAAAGCAAATGAAAAAGTTTCATGAGCACAGCTGAGTGGAATTTATCTTTCCATTTGAGGATACTTGTTGGGATGTGTTTCTAATCTTTGTTCAGCTCTACATACTGATGTTAAGCACCATGTTTTCCCTTCAGACACCTTGCTATTTCCAGAACATTATGTGGTAGGGAGGTCAATGAGGGGATTATTATGAGGAGATCTTATCAGTACTAGCCCACACTAATGAAAGTGAGACAAAGAGTGATAGTGGAGACTAACCAACTATGTAGATAGCAAGTTGTGGATTTCTCAACTTTATGGAGGAGTATTTGATATGGTCAAGGAGTTGAAATGTTTCTTGAAGCATTTGGAGCAATTTGAGAAGAACTGGAATGTGTGCAATATTCATAGCCACCTTTGCCAATTAGTGACAATGTCTTGCATCAAAACAGGCAAGAATTGTTCAGATTTGTTAGGTGCAAGCTAGAATTAGGGGATGAACTTTAGCTAGTGCAAAATTATCTCATTGGCATACCTAGTAGATGAAAGGAAAATGTAGATCTAAGCAGAAAGCATACCACCAAAGTTACTGCAAAGAGTCTGAACAAAGTCAGAGGGCATGAAATATGTTTTTGGATGAAAGCTGTAACACAGTGGCCATCATTTTAACCATTTTTGTGTGTATTTGTCTCTGTTTTACAAAGATAAAGCTGAGGTACAACAATAGTAAGGCTGAAAAAGAGGTGCTGACATGCAATTTGAGTTGAGAGTAACCTAAATTTTGATGTATCTCTGCAGCAAAATGTTGGTTCAAAGCACATGTTTCCATGCATTACATCTTTGTAAGTCGACTGTGAACCACTGAAGTAAATTAGAAGCTCTTTATTGGTGTCTGATTTATTTTAAAATGTTGGGTAAAGCAGTCACCTTGCAGATTTCAGGGAGTCTGGTACACCAAGGGCTTCAATCATGCTTCATATAGTCCCTTCTGTTAGAAAACTTTCAACTTCTTTGAATGAAGACAGAAGGCAGATCTTTCCTTAATACAAAATTCAAATTCATCCCTAAAGCAGACTTCTTACAAGCATTAAATTAATTAAGCATTTCTAGAGAAAAAAATATGTGATTGTGTTATGAAACACTGTGGTGTTACATGCATTCACAATGAGAGCAGTGACTGCTGGGCTCTTTGCTTGTTCTCTGCTGATTTGAACCCAGACAAAGCAGAATGAGCTGAGCTACTGAAAATAAAAATCTGTCAGGTACATGCAAGCAGTGATTTTGAAGACACTTTAAAATTATCCAGATTTAAGAAGATTTCTCTTAGAAATAGCCAAATTTATATTCTTAATGAGAAGATTATATCTTGCTGACTATCTTGCTGGATATCAAAGTTCTTTTCAAGATCCTCTTGGGATCCAGGGGTTTATCAAAGAAAAATTTCCAGAACTTGTCAAAACAATGCACTTTTCTCTTAGCTTCAGTCTCCCAGATAGGTGAACACCATTTGCTGACATTTTCTTTTAAAGAAATCAGCCTGAGTCTGTCATCAAGAAAAACTAAGCAAATTTTGTCAATATTATAAGTAGTTGAATTGTGGTTTTTAATAGCAAAGTGGTGTTATGCATTAATGAGCAGCAGTGCTAACCTGACCTGTTATAGACCTTGTAGAATGTGTGAACAATAGAAAAATAAAGAAAAAATAAAATAAAAAATTAAAGATGAATCTCAGCCAAGAAATTAAAGTATAAATGAATATTGTTTTGATGAAGGGTAGGAGAACAAGAACTAAAATTAGAGTTTGTTGCAGACTCCCACAAATGGGTTTTCAGTCTCAAAGTGATGCACAATAATCTTACCAGATATTTTTTGTCATGAGTTTACTAGTTTAAAAGATATGTCAATATGAATCATCAAGAATTTTTTTCCAAATTATAAACAAGGCATTTTCATTATCAAAAACATTATCTTGTCTGATAGCAGCTCTACTATCTAGATTTGGGGAAAGAGGTATATAAAAGTAGAAACAGTAAATACTGAAATACAAAAATTTAGCTGCATGAGCAAGTTAAAACAACTCTGGATAATACATTGAAATACGTAAAAAACAACAATTTTCATTGCCAAGAGGGTATCTGATATGGTCTGTTCTGTTGTAGTTTTTGGTTTTTGCCATGTCTTTTCAAAAGGCTGGTATAAAATGTTGTGTCAAGTGGGCATCAGTTTCTGTTACAGTCCTTAGAATATGCAAGAAAGAAAGCAGGTTCCAATATTCCTGGTTTTTGTAGGCATACTGAATATTGTCAGAAATTTTGGTATATGAAAGCCTCCAAATTTATAAAACATCTCAAGCACCTATCATAAGAGAAAACAAAAAATCCAGGCAAATACAGTGATGACTCTGAAAGGTCAGTAGTAGAGGTTTCAGAATGATCTTCTATACAACTTACAAGATGGCCCTGAGTGTTCCCTGAGCCCACTAATAATCCACTGGTGTGGATTATCACATTGAGGTGTGATGAGTGTAAAACAGAACACAATCACAATCAGTAATATTTGCCTGAAAACTTCGGCTGTAGAGAACATAGTTACATTTTGTCAACTGAAATATTCCAGAATTTAGAAAATGTCAATTCTCTTACAGAGAAAAAGGAACACAAAATGAGGTATGAAAATTGAAATAGAGTATAATAATAAAGAGACATGGGGAAAAAGGATGAAATTTTATCCCCAGGGTCTTAGATAGACTCAGAAAATGGATGGCCAAATATTATTTGACATGAATGTCATAAGTTAAAAGCTCATGTTCCTTCTGGAAGTACCTAATATATATCCTTCTGGATTTGGCTTATTTTTTTTTATTTTTTTTTTAAAGAGCAGCTTTTAGTGAGGTAATACTATCTTTTCTGCAACTTAATCACATTTATATTGCTTATGTTTTTATCCATCCTTAAAGTTCTCAGTCTTAACACCGTTCTAAAGGTAAATTCCCATGTGGTACACAGCGTTTTATCAATGGCTTTTTATCATCAGTGAAATTATGAATCACATTAGACAGTGAGAAACACAGAAGGCCTAAATGACTAGTGTTTCAGAGATGGTTCTTAGATGAATGTGGACAGCCCATTATGTATGACATTATAATTTCATTATTAAATCATTCATGTGTTTATCACCTGGAAATGTAGCAGAAGACATATTTATTTGTAGTCATTGTACTCAGCGGTGGAAAGTGCAGCACTATAATAAACTCTTGCCCTCTGAAATATGTTTATCTTGTTACTGAGCTGGCTTACTAATGTGATTTTCTACCTTTAGCAAAAGAAAGGTAATGCTTGCTGCAGTTGCTATGATACAAGACTAGTGTACTGAACTTTCCAATGCATCAGCATACATTTTGTTCCACGCAGTTCCCTGTCACTGCTGCTGTCTCCCAAAACTCCAAATTTAAAATAAGTACTCACAGATATTTTGCTTGTTTGCTCTGAATGACTAGTGTCAATAGTACTGAGCTTTAGTTTGACTAGGGGATTGAATTACATATTGTTTTCTAAAATTCGTAACAGGCTACAGCAAAACAAGGATAAAATGCACTTTCTTGTGTTTGGGACTTTATCAGCAGGTGTAAACACCTAGCTTTGTCTTGCTAGAAGTTACATATCTAGAAGAGGCTTAATCAACCCTCTCCTCTCTAAGAGAGGAAAAGACAAAAAGAGGCACCTTCAGTGGACAGTTTATCCCACAAGCCTAAGACATTTTAAGCAAGGCTGCTTTTAATACTGGTTAGAGAGGACAGCTAGGTAACTTAAATGAAATGAGATACCTTACTTTTATATACCTAAAATTATAGGAGATGAATCCCTTTGAATGGGATAAGGTGAATTTTTTTTCAAACTTTTGGCCTGTGAATAATCCAAAACCAGATGAACAGATGGAGATGTCGCAAAATACTGGCAGTATAATGCTGTATATGGCAATAAAATAAAAGTCAAAATGTAATGCTATAGAGAAGCAATTCTGTAGAGAAAAGTCTGAGAAATACACCTCAACCTCCCTTTCGTGCAAAAGCAAGGCTTTTGTGAGAGTTGGTAATGACATTTCTGTAAGAGAAGCCTTTCTCTCATTTGAACCTTTGTCTCAATCTCCTAAAGCAAAACAGTTGACAGACTGTTTCTTCAGAGATGTATAATGTATTCTCTGTCAGCTCCTTTGACTGTATTCTCAGGGATTCCTATTTTGATGACATTGCACCAGCTAGACTGATACTGAAGACAAGAAAATAAAACTTTCGAAAATACTGGCTTCTTGCTGACAGTGGATTAGTCTGCAGAAAAGATACTCCTTTTATTTTTATGTAGCCTGGCAATTCATCAGGTCTTCTCTAAGATATTAATAATTTTTGAGACTAGCAAGATCAGGTAAGCTTAATGGATTTCCCTGCCGGTGTAATGAATGTGATTGCAATGAAGCATGAAACGAACTGTTTTAATGGCTTACACTTAGATCTGATGGTAATTTTTTAAGGACACCTGCATCTTTCATTAGTTGAACAAGCAACCACTTGACTGCAAGTGAATAATTAATTCAGAAGTCTGAAGAACAATATTCATTGAACCTTAGGAAATATTACTGAAAAGTTTCTGGTAAATCACTTGAAAAATAAGTAATCACATCTATTGATTTTGAGATGCCTTCTGCACATTGAGACACAGTATGTAAAGTAGATGTGCTCCTTTCTCTGCAGCTGGGATGACAGCAGCTCGGTTAGCAGTGGCCTCAGTGACACTCTTGACAACCTCAGCACTGATGATTTGAATACCACCTCATCTGTCAGCTCTTATTCCAACATAACAGCCTCTTCAAGGAAGAACACTCATGCCCAGGTAAGTAGCTTTGTTGCCATTTGTTGCAACATCCCTATACAGGATAGAAAAAGTTTGATATCAATGCCAATGAATGAAGTATTCATATCTTACAAAATCCTCTATTACACCTGAATGCAAGAAGCCATAGGCTCCATTGATCCAACCCTGGGCTTTGAGATGATATTCCAAATTCCCTGCTCCCAGGATATGTGTCACTGCTGAAGGTGCTGGCTGGTGACATCCAGTTCTGCCCACCCTGGGGGAGCAGCCCAGGTCCCAGCCCCTTCTGCACCCTAACACAAAGCAAACACAATATAATTGGATCTGTGATCATAGATTTCTTCTCACTTCAGCTCATTTGGAGCATCTCTTCCAACAGATAACACAATAAAAAAATATATATTTTTTGCTTTTTCTGAGCTGAAACACATTAGGGAAGAAATATACAGGCTGTGCTGTCCTTTCAAATGGCAGAGATTGTCTTCTCCGTGCTTAGATCCAGGGATGAAAATGTCAATGCAAGGTGACAATGCATAGTGTCAAAATAGAGTTCTTAATACCATACAGACACAAACTATATACATCATACATATATGTGTGTGTCTGTGTACGTAAAGCTCTTGTGGCAGGTATCCAAGCATTTCTTCCCAGCTCCCCTCAAAACTGCAAGTAACAGAGAAGTCAATACAGAATCCTTGCAGGACTTAGTTCCCTCCAAAAAAGAAATAAAACCAGAAAAGTTTGTCTCAATAGGAAAGTATTCTCTGCCATGTCATCTCCTGTTCACTAATAGGGAACTTTGAGACTGAGCACTCAGCGCAGGGGAAGAGTGGCTGCCTCCAGTGATTTAATGTCAAGTATGCAGGACACAAGACTGACACTTCTGATTCCATTTAGACTCCTGCAGGCAGGCAGTGTCTGCAGTTCAGAGCTCTGTTTTGTCAGTGTAGATTTCAGCAGACATATTTGTTATTTCCCCCAGACAATAGGGAAATGAAGTTACTTTTGGAATGAAAATTACTTTAATCTCCAACAGGACAGATACCAGGCCAATGCTGTATTCATGCAAAGGTAGTCACTCAAATGCCAACATTCTTCAGCCCTTACCATTGCCTTTCCCACTCCATCAGGGACTTCCATGGTTTTTAACTGGAGATCAGCCTCTTCCCTTTCACATCAGCAATGATGGTTAGCTAGTTCTGGTTTGCTTGTTCCACTGCATAGTCATCAGGATTGGGAAATCTCAGGCTGACTTTTTAACTCTGTGGTTTTGTTTTTTTTTTTCATTTGGGTAATCTCATGTTCTAGCTACTCTATAATAAGCCTCTGCTTTATTTGCAAATTGTTCAGCGATAGACAAAGATGCAATGTATGTTCAAATTTTAGTTTCATTCCAGAGTTTGTTTATATTATGAAAACTAGGAAAATACCTTTATCAGGTATGCCTTTACGAGGCACATTAAGCAGAACTCACTGTATTCCAAGCTAGCTGGCAATTTCAGTCAGAAGCCGAGATGAACAGAATACTCATTTTGACTGCTTTTTTTCAGGTCTTAGATATAGTGCAACACAGAGATCCCTTTCTCAGTCTTTTTAAGTGACTGGAACAGTAAAGGCTGGCTATAGACTGAGACAGAAATGGCATATTTTATTGTTGTTTTCTTATTACAAGAATTATAATGGTGAAGACAGGCTTTTAGAAAGTATTGTACTACTCTTTTTTTTTAAATTTAAGCAGTTTGCTTTAAAAATGTATGACTATACGTTTACAGTCCTTCATTTATGATAAAATGTCTGTAATCATGTTGTTACACGTTACACATGTTGTAACAATAGCTTCAATGAAAACTTGCTTCTGAAGGACCCTGCAATATTTTTTGTCGATATTTGCTTGTTAATCCTTACCCATAGTCTGTGCTAGCTCATCCAAAGCACATACGTAATTATGGAAATGTAGACAGCTTTTGCCTTTTGTACATCTCAGCTGACAAATATGTAAACAGGACCTAATTATTCTGTCTGTCACGTAATCAGTATTAATCCTCCCTATGGCAGCAGTGCCTAGGACACAGCCACAGAGGGGTCTCTGTGGTGAAGGAGCTGTGACAGCCCAGGATAATAAATAGCCAGTCCCTCAATGAGATCCATTTTGCAGTCCCTCTTTGGATGGTGATACCTGAGAGAAGCACCATATTTTTGCTGTTAAAGAGGGGCAGAGGCAGGCAGGAGTGGTGAGAGGGTGATGTGCAAATAAGGCTTCAGACTGAGGTCAGGAGGCTGCAGAAAAACACAGAAGGAAGAGTTACATTGAACAGCCTGTCAGCACAAAGAACACCGGTCTTGTCAGACACAGAGGGTAGGGCCAGTCTCTGTTTCTATTTAAGCCACTTTCACAGCTTCTGCATTGTCTTGTTGGGCTGCCCCTTCAGCACTCCCCTATCAGCATGCCTCAGGAAAAGCAGATGCCACAGGGGATTTAGGTCCTCACTGGTGTATCCTCCAAGTGGGTCTGAGTTTCAGAGGGAGCATGAGCCCAGCTGGTTGCCTTCACACAACGGATGAGTAGTGCTGGCATACGCCTCTCCTCTGCTCTGTTAGCTGATATAGCTAGAGAGAGTTTCTTGTTGGACAGAATTCATTTCTGTGGAGACAGGCCAGTAGAAAAGCCATCAGCTGTAGCACAAGTATTTTTGGGGAAGATGCTATCCTTGCTCACTGGTGGCACAACATACTCTGTTCTGCTGGAGAAATATTCCTAATCCAGTCATTGGAAGTCTTGGGTAGGAAAAGGCTCCAGCCAGACTGAGGTGATTTTAGTAGTGTATTCAGGAATTTGCTCACCCAAGCTTTTAGTAAAACTTCTCAGCACAGTGATTCACTTCTGAAATTTAGATTTAATTGAGGAACAGTAGGGTATCACCACTGATAATTAGAGTGAATTACCTTTCACTGTATTATAGTTTATCTATAAAGGAAGGGATTAAATCTTTTGCAAATAAAAGAAAGAGAGATGTCATTCCCAAATGGCTATATTCTGTATGTTTTTAAACTTTTGGAATCAGTATACTAATGCTTTAGAAGTTTCTGTGGCCCTTTCTGCAAATAGGCCAAATTCTCCTCCCCTGCTATGATTTAAGAAATCAGCAAATAACAGAGATGCTGGGACTGACCATATCTCGCACAAATCTCTTGTAGCTGAAGACAGACTCAGAGAAGCGCTCAGTTACAGACAGTGAAACTTGGGGCAGCACTGAAGAGCTGAAGAAGCCAGAGGAAGACTTTGACAGCAGCGTAGACAGCAGTGGCAAGTGGAAAGGCCTTCCCTCAGGGCTGTCTGAAGAGTCAGAGAAGGGGGGGCAGAAAACATCTCTCTCTGTGTCACAGACCGGATCTTGGAGGAGAGGCATGACTGCACAAGTGGGAACAGCTCAGTCCAGGCACAAAGCAGGAACAAGTGCACTCAAGACCCCAGGTAGGAAACTTCTGTAGTTCAGATTACAGTGGTCTTAAAATAATTGATGGATGTTATAGATATATACATATATGCATATTGTTTGCTCCTCCCATAAATGACTGCAAGCTCAGATTTTAATATTAAAATAACGTTTTCATTTCTGTTAATTTGCTACATGCATAATAATAATTTTTTAAGTACACATGGGTGCATCCATAACAAAAATTGTGATTGCATTTTGTTGTGCTGTCATCTGTGTATGTCAATGCCTATTAATTCTTAGAAGTATTTTGGACTCATCTGTGCCTTATCTTTATTCTCTAGAAAAAGTTACCTTTGATAATTCAACATATGGATAGAAATGGCCAAATATTAGAAGTTGAATCAAAAACATTTAATATTCAAGAGAGGGGACTCCAAATGATATTTTTAGTTATTTCTGAACTAAAGCTAAATTATCACATTCCAGATACTGTGAGTGTTCTACGCCACTGTTAAATACTTTTTGTAAAACAAAAAATATTTTTATGCACTTTCAGTGCTAAATGCCCTCCTACCTAATTTTGGAAAGCCTTTCAGAAGTAGTAACCACTTCTGCAATCTAGTTTTGAAGCAAAAAATACAAAGCTGATGAAGGAGATAATTATTAAAAGCATCTAATCCTATACTAAGGAAATGTGTATTCTCAGTAGAACATTTTCTGGTGCTTTTTCATGTCCTGAGACAACAGTGCATGCTTCAGCCCCTAGTGGTAAGGGCAACTAACAAAGATCTCCTCAGAATAAGTTCCTGCCCTTTGTGAACCCCTTTTGTTTCTTTGCAATTTGGAACTGCTAAAGATTGATCAGTCTCTGGTCTGAGAGATCCCTGAGGAGCACTGCCATGGTGGTCATATGGATACAGAAATTATATCCCTGTAGTAGCAATTAAAAATGGAGATACTTAAAGGTTTTCCGAACACCAAGCTAAGCTTTCCAGATCTGTTTTGCTCAAGGTGATCAGGCAGCCACTGTGCAACACAGAATTGAGGCCTTAGCTACTAATGAGCTGTATGTTTGCTGGGTCAGAGTCTGATCTGTATCATGGCATGTGCATCTGTTTGTGTAACATTAAGTGTGAGCTGGATAAAAACATGAATGGAGTTAGTTCTGCTTTGCAGGTGTCACTCTTTATTACATTTTAGTTTCTTAAGAGAAATTAGGTCATCCACCTCCAAAGCTTCCATAATTACTTCAAGAGTAAATTAAAAACTTTGGTATGTTTTAGGAGTTATTAGTTGTATACAGTAGATGCTTAGAGATAAATTAGAATTGAAATGGCAATTTTTATCTATTTGTGAAACAGGAAGAGGATACTTTCTGGTATAGCAGAACATCTTACTTTGACCTTCCTGCATGTGACAATAAAATTTTAGGAAATACGGAAGAAAAGTATAAATATATGTTATATAGTCACAAGCCTCGACAGGACTGAAGAAAACCTCACAAAAAAATCAAATATCTTGAGAAGTCATCAAGGATTCAACAAAGACTAATTAACTTGTGTAATTGATATTGTTACAGATCAAGACAATTCATTCCATAACATAATCTCTCCCTGATAATTTTGTGTAACTAACCAGAACAAACTTAGTCATACCCTAAAAAGATGTAATCAGTGAAAACTGAAGAACTCTATAAGTACCACTAATTTCTACACACATCATTGATGTCATACTTCAGGAGATGTTTATTACATGTAATGTTTTATTTTCAAGTATTATTTCTTTCATATAGAAATACTGTTAACAGAAAAAAAAAATAAAATCTGTCAAGATTCCTTATGGTTCATTCAAGATAATTTTCTACAACTACGTTTTCCACCTATCTATGAAAGTGGAAGTTCTCACGGGAAGTTCAAGCTTTTAATACTTAAAGCTTATCTGTAGTGTGTCCTACAGATAGCTGATGGGAGACTTAAAACCAAACTGGTCTGTTCCCTTAGGGGAATTCTATTTGTGTATTTTTTCATTTTGAAAGTATTATCATACAGTGTTGAAATTACATATTTAGACATTGCAGCTTAAACACAAGTGACCATTTCAGATATTCTTTTACTTAGGAAAAACCGATGATGCAAAAGCTTCAGAAAAAGTGAAAACTCCGCTGAAAGGAGCCTCCATACAGAGATCTCCGTCAGATGCAGGGAAGAGCAGTGGTGATGAAGGGAAAAAGCCTCCCTCTGGCATTGGGAGATCAACTGCTACAGGGTCATTTGGATTCAAGAAGTCTGGGTTGGGATCTTCTACCATAATCACCACAAGTGGAGCAACGATCACAAGCGGGTCAGCAACGCTAGGAAAAATGCCAAAATCCTCAGCCATCAGTGGGAAATCCAACGCAGGGAGGAAGACGAGCTTAGACGGTTCCCAAAATCAGGATGACGGCGTCCTGCATGTGAGCTCAAAGACAACTCTGCAGTACCGGAGTCTGCCTCGCCCCTCGAAATCCAGCGGCAGCGGGATCCCCGGCCGGGGCGGCCACCGCTCCAGCACCAGCAGCATCGACTCCAACGTGAGCAGCAAGTCTGCGGGTGCTGCTGCCACCAAACTGCGAGAGCCAAGCAAGATCGGGTCCGGGAGGTCCAGCCCTGTCACCATCAACCAGACGGACAAGGAAAAAGAGAAAGTGGCCGTGTCAGATTCTGAAAGCGTCTCACTGTCCAGCTCTCCTAAATCCAGCCCAACTTCCGCAAGCGCCTCTGGCACACCAGGACTTAGACAGCCAGGATCCAAATACCCAGATATTGCTTCCCCCACGTTTCGAAGGTTAGTGCGTTTCTATGATTCCCTGAAGTTGCAATATATAAAGCAGGGATTTTCAGTATGTTGAAGTACTGTGCAAAAAGCCTTTTCAGGGAATATTTTGCCACAAACAAGTCAAGTACAGGAAAATAAAAGGGCAGTATTTTTTTCATACAACACAATGATTTATTTGAGATTTGAAGACTTTCCCAGACCTGAAATGGCTGCTCCCTGAGGTTTAAGCATTTTAGGTACATCCCCATAACCATAGTTTGAAGCTTAGAAGGTGGAATCACTGATCCTTATGGGCCCCTTCCTACACAAGATGTTCTGTGATTCTAAGTTCAGCCACATGTGCAGTTTCTTTTCAATACTGCAGTAAACCCCCAAAGGGAAGAAGGACCCTATGTTCAGGCACATTCTCTCAATGGAACAGGCATTGCCACATTCTGGATGGAGAACTGAAGAGCTCTTTAAATTATAGAGTTAGATTTGCTTTCCCATTGTTGGCAGCATCAGCTACAAACACTTCATTATCTTAGCAGCTTCGTTCCATTTTTTGACACAAGCATTGGCAAGGCTAAATTTCAATTGTAAATGCTCTATTGTAACATTTCTGGAAGTATAAATCTGGATGAGTGAGTGTTCCATGAATTGGGATGGAGCACTTTGACTGCTGGAGAAAAAGCCGACAGTGCCCTCTTGTGCCTACTTACCAAAACATCATCTCCAGGCAGCTGGGGAGCTGCAGCTTAGTTTTGTGGGCTTGGCAAAATGTAAAACGGGTTCTTATCTTGCTAGACATGCTTACTTTACATCATGATAACTTTTGCATTTTTTTACCTTTAATTTATAAGCTGTACATTAACTGCAGCTTAAAATATTTCCAGAAATACATTAAAACATTGCATGACCTTTTAGTTCAAATTTTAGAGGACTCGAAGTCTATTTTTTCATCATCACTATAGAATTTTCATATCTAGAGTTGCTGGAAGATATTATAACTGTGACATACAATTTTATCATTCCTGCCCTTGGAGACAAACTGAGCCCATTTAGCCATGGTGCAGTTTATTCTGAGTGGTTACTAAATGACTGATGACCACATGACCATCTGTGCAAAAAAAAACAACAAGAGGGGAATTTTGCACAAATACTTAGATGTTTATTAATATATGAAGGATTTAGCATTTTGCAAGTGTTTGTTGCAATCATTTAAGCAGATTTGAGAGATAAGGAGTTTAAAAGCTAATGACTTGGGAATGCTTAATTACTGAATTTGGGTGAAAGTGTAATCTGTTTATGAACTAGGAAGACAAAAATGTGATTATTTTACCTCTCTCTGGGAGGGTCTGTGCAAACAAAGAGCATGTCTCAGTAGGAGTGAGTAAGAGCAGTTATAAAGAAACAAGCCATGATAATTGTGATATGGTTAAGTGAATTTAAATTTGTGCTGTGATTGATCAACTAGGTAGGCGTGATTTTCATAGCAGTAATTAAAAATGTGTAGTTTGGCTCTTAGGATGTTGCGCCATGAATGTTTAATGCGGCTATCAGTTTCTCTAAAGCTATTTGTTTTACATTTAGGTTGTTTGGTGCCAAGGCAAGTGGTAAAGCTGCCTCTGCACCCAGTACTGAAGGTGTGAAACCCACATCGGCAATGCCCAGCCCTAGTACCACATTGGCACGGCAAGGCAGCCTGGAATCGCCATCCTCGGGCACAGGCAGCATGGGCAGTGCAGGTGGGCAAAGTGGTAGCAGCAGCCCCCTCTTCAGTAAACCTTCGGACTTAAATGCAGATGTTGTAAGCTTAAGTCACTCCCTGGCTTCCAGTCCTGCCTCAGTGCACTCTTTCACATCAGGTGGTCTTGTGTGGGCTGCAAACCTGAGCAGCTCTTCAGCGGGCAGTAAGGACACACCAAGTTACCAGTCCATGACTAGCCTTCACACCAGTTCCGAGTCTATTGACCTCCCTCTTAGCCATCATGGCTCTCTCTCTGGACTGACAACAAGCACTCAGGAGGTTCAGAGCCTGCTCATGAGGACTGGAAGCGTCAGATCTACTCTTTCGGAAAGGTGAGCTTGCCTATAGATATAGTGACCACAAAATAAGTGAGAGGCAAAAGGACAGGAGCCAAAAAAATAAACCCTCCACCTTTTTTGTTAAAAGGACGCTGTTTAATTAGCAGCTTCGTCCTTCATGTAATAAAAGGAAGGAAGAAAAGAGAACTGAAAGGCATTGTGATGTGGAATCAACTGCCTTTTAAGGTTTTACAAGCACTTTTTCTACCTTGAGAATTTTTTGAGTTTCCTTGTTCTGGAGACGGTGAGAGAAAAGGGGGAAAATTGTCTAACTAAAGGCAAGTGTAAACAGCCAAGAGGCACATAATGATTCCTGCAGCAGGATCCACCTGCTGTCCCAGCATTTGGCAGTTCCAAAACAAGCAAACCTCCAGCTGGGGGACCCCTGCTTTTCTCTTCCCATTAGCTGAAAGCACAGGCAGAGCTGGTGTGTCCTGGTCTTCAACTGACCAGTCTTGCCTTAAAATACTCAGTCTTGACAAGTTTCTTCTTACACGGTAATCATTACACGGATCCTTACTGAAGTGCAGCTTCACTGGCAGGGAGACAGTTTACAAGATGAGATTCTTTTTATATGATCAGTCCTGGCAAGTGCCCAGAACGGACAAAAAAATGCAAGAAAATGTTTTTCTGTTTGCTCTATTAAAGAATTTTTTTATATGCAGACATTTTACCATTTAAGTTACATTATAAAAGGTGCGACTAGTCTGGCACAGTTGAACCAAGATTTTTTCTTTGGTTTTTTTTTTTCCTTTTTTTTATTTTTTTTTTCTTTTTGAAACATTTATCTGGCTTTGGAAGGAGAGAAAAAAATAATCTTTTCTAGGAACTAAGTAACTTCCGTTTCCCATGAAAATTTTCAGGATTTGATAGTGAAACTCTTATCTCACATGTGGACTGTAAAATCAATAATAAATATTTCATTAGCCTTTGATTCAAAAAATGAAATTTTACTGAATCAGTCAAAAATATTTTAAACTTAATTTGTTTTTTAACATCCCAAACATTTTAAGGAGAAAAGACCTTTAACATACAACATAGAGTTTTTTTGCCCTTTATTATATAAACTCAGAGATTGTTCAATACCCATCCTTTGCATAGAAGGAATTCACTTTCAGTAAGCCAGCATTTAAAAAAACCTCATAATCAAAACATTGAGAAATCTAGATGGAAACTTTTCATAGATTTCATTTTCTTATGTTGCATTCATAAGTATTACTATATCAGCTAAAAATCACACCTCTTACTAATATACAAATTATATTGCAATTATATACTAATATATTATTTTAATAATTATAAAAGATATATATGTACCAATATAACATACACTAACAATATGTAGTATTGTTAACAATATAGTCGTTATAAATACACTGATACACAAGCAATTTGTAGTTTGCACTTTGCCCTTAATTTTTACATAGATATTTGAATTTGTGTACTATGCACTGAATGTGACAATATTTCTTAAAAGGTCAGTTATTAATACTAAGCTTACAAAATCCTTCACTGCCACATATATGGATGATGAGGTCACTAGAATGATGTGGACCAGTATGAATTCATGCCAAAAATTATATTGATACACAGGATCTTAAAAATCACGTTTCAAAAATTAATGGCTTGGCAGAAGTTTCTGAGCAACCTCCACTGCTAATACTTTATGTATTTGTTCAGTGACTTAATTTCAGTGGTTCCAAATACTTTGCCGTTGGCAATATTTTTAAGTTTCAGATTAGTCCATATGGGGATATTATGATTGAGTCCAGTGAGAGCCATTGTTCATGTTGATCTGGCCTCAAAACAAATATATGTACCTAGAGTAAATGGTGTCATTTCTTGAATTATAGCCCCAACAGGGTTTTTGCAGTTCGATTTTTCTAAAAGGTCTGATACAAGTGCTGAGTTTCTAAATGCTTTTATGCATGAAAACTTACTTGTAGCAAAGTATTTTTCCACAACAAAAGCATTGATTTGCAACTTTGGAGACAGATATGCTTGGCAGCACATTATGTCCTTTTTTCTTTGTAATCTCATATTTGAAATGCCTTTCATTATACTAATTATAGCATGGCATAGCATAAAAAATTATCTGCAAGGAGTTTTTTTTTCTTTTTCTTCAGTCACCCTAGAGCTTGCAAAAGGCTGAATCAGCAGTCCTTACAAAATCAGAAAGCCCAAAGTGCACCATGAGGTACAACTAGCAAGCAACATAAAGTCTGTGCAGAGAAAATGCAGGAAAAAACTGAAAGAGAGGAGAGAGCTAATGATAGATGATATAAAAAAAATCAGATTTGTTTCATTGAAGCATTAGCTGTAATTTGGTGGATAAGTATCAGTAATGGAAAGCATACTAAGAGGAAATGAAAAGGTTGAAGTTATCTTCAGTTTACTGGTCCTGATGAACTTTTCATTTCCAAGCTTCAGGCAGAGCCTGAAACCCTGAAGTCATTAGAATTGGAGAAAAGTTTTCAAAGGGTCTCTGCTGAGGAAAGAGTGAGGAGGAGAGCAGGGATGGAGAGCAAGGACATTATGGGAAGGCCAGTTTGCCTGGAAAAATACAGAAGACATTAAACAAAATAGGTTAAGTAACAAATAACATGAGATTGGTCATTAACAGCCTTTTAAATAATAAAGGCTAATTTAATTCATTGGCAGGAAAATATGCTCTCTGAATGGCAGAAAAATAGTAAATGCAATAAAAATCTTGAATTTACTAAAGCTTTAAGTGCTATTCTAATAACACTCTCATAAGCAAATGGGAAGAAAAAGTTCTAGTTGGTAAAGAGTTACTGAAGGTGAGTGACCAAAGGCTGATTAGTCTGAAGGGATATACAGGGCAGGATATATTTGCATAGGTACAAAATGGAAAATAGTGAGGCTATCTTGCAGTACATGTGTACAGAGCTGTAGTGCCATGCTGGGAAAAAGCATTTTGAAAATGAAAATGTTGCATATGAGTTTTAGAAAGTAAATATCCCATTGTCCTTAATACTTTGGGACATCAAGTTTTAGGAAGGAACAGCTGGAAGGAACACAGAAAATGAGGACAAAATCTCAGAGTACCTCTGCATTTCCTTTGAAGGAAAATAGCCCCTGACTGCCTCCAAAAAAAGAGTCACCTTTCATGGAGACAGCAAATCTGCAAGGTCTCTGCTATTTTTGCCCCCGTCTCTCCAGGGATGCTCAGACTTTGCCCACAGTTTTCAGGCTGCCCACTGAGTGATGGTACGGCATCAACGCAGAGCTCCCTGACGGCTCCTGGAGTGCAGTGTCAGAGTTCACTCTAGCCAAATTCTGTATCATTCAATGAGATTCTGTTGCATTGTAACAACCAGAAAATAGACTCAGTAAAAGAAAGCAAAATATTTTTTTTCCAGAAGGAAATTATTTTGCATGTCTCTTAGGCCTTTTGATGGTTTTGCACTAGCAGTATTCAGAAAAGTCTAATTCTACTGTCGTAGCAGTGTAGCTCCCTATATGGGAGGACACTTGTACCTTACAGCAATTCAGAGGGATTAAAATGATCATGCAGGTACTTATACTCTAAAATAAAACCATCTTCTGGGGTTAATTGAAAATATTACTGCCTTAGTTGTAAAATTTTCCAAGTGGACACATCACCAGTAGTTCTTTCAAACCCTTAATTGCTGTTGAGCATTGCAAATTTGTAACTTTCTTCTGCTTAATCTGAAGGACACAGCAAGGAAGGCATAAAAATGCAGAAATATAGAAATAAACAATGTTCTGATCAGCAGTAATAGCTGCATTTTAAGATAAGCAGAGTGGAAGTGGTTTTTTTACTTACATGACTGGCTTTCTCTAGTTTGCTTTAAAAGAATGTGTAGTTTTGAGTGCTATGAAAGTGCATTGAAATCCACTTAAGCCCTTCAAGACTTTCAATTATTTGAAATTATCATAACTGATAGTTGTGGTTTTTAAGGTGTGAAACAGTGCATCACGTATCAGATTTTCTTATATGCCTAGCCTTTGTAGAAACTAATTTGTAAGACCCATATCAGCTTGGCCCAGCCTGTCATGGAGCTCCCTAGCTGTTTCTTAGCTTGGAATAATTTGTTTTATTCCTTAGCAGCTCTGAAAGAGTTAGATGTAGCTCAAGGATATGCTATTATGGCCCTTTCCCAAGATAACCTCATCACCAAGGGCAGGTAGGAAAATGGGGAATGTAAGGCTTCCTGTAATTTCCCTCATAGAAGTTATAGTCAGTTTCAGCAGTTTAAAATAAACAAAAGAGAATAAGATACAGTGGGCTTGATAATTTCAGCCTATGTCTTCATCTTTTTGCAAGATTGCTTTTTCCAATTTACCTAGCAAAGGAAAATATCAGGAATATTATTATATTCTCATCCTCACTTTATATTGCTCTTTGTCCATGTATGCATTGCTTCTTTCAGGAAAGGACTGTCTTTATTATCATTATCAACTCTAGAGATGTGAGGTAAATTAAGTTCTGTTTCCCAAAAGTCCAGTTTCTGTGGAAGCAATGAACCCAGCTTTTGGTGGATGAGTGATTTCAGATATTAAAAAGATAAGGGCAGTTATTGGTCTGAAGTAATAGTTACATGAAACTTTGCTTAATGGTTTCATATAATTATCTAAAATCTAGGAGGATCTTTGTAAGCATTATTATTTTAAAAACACACAATGAGCTTTTGCTACACTTACTTTAATGCAGTTGCAATAATTCCATGTTTATGTTGAGGAATATTCATGCCTATTTCATTTGATGATCTGAATTCAAAAGATTTTTGGAAAATCTTATGGTCAATCTTAACCTACTTATATGACTGGCATACCTTTTGGCTTGTGGGTTGGTTTAAAGGAGAACTGACTCCCTTATTTTTAGATAATGTACTATAGATTATTTTATATAAATATATCTCCAGGTCAAAGTAATATTGGAAAATACATTGTTCATTTGCACTTTTAAGTTGCATAAGAAACTGGTGTTTTGATCATGTTTATTCATCTTGAAATTTAGAGGTGCAGAAAGGTAAATGAAGGAACATCAAGGGCTGCATTTCTGTGTGAAGAAAAAAAAAAGTGAATCATTCATTCAAATTTATGTTTTCTTTTTGCCAGCTATTCTAGGTCCTGTTAGTTATGTTGGGAGCAAAATGCTGAAAATACAGTCCTCTGTCTGACATGGGCCATGGGATTACTCCACATGGATCATGATAACTGGGCCTGTGCTGAAATACTGCTGATTTTCTCCTTTCATTTGCTTTCTCCAAATGCAGAACAAGGCCCTTTATTTAACTAGTAAAATTGTCTCTAAAATTTACTGGTGGTAAAATAGTTTGCTTCCATTTTCCCAACCCCTGATAGTAATGCACTGTCCATGCCAGCAGTGTTTTCACTGCCTTTATCTGCTAGGATCAAGGATACATGACAGTAGGACTCCCATCACCCACAGCACAACAGGAAACACCTTTAATAAGGGTGTTTCTTGGGTAGCAAGGGTCCTAAGTTACTGCTGCTCTCAGAGGTGTGATTATGATATGTAATACAGAAGCTTTCAAAAGCCATTTTGCCATTTGATCCTTGTGATGGCACTAAACTGTGTTCCAAAGCGAGAGAACTTTGCAATACTTACTTGATGATAACTATTTCAAACCACACCGACCGGAGACCAATTTTCCAACACTTTATGATGAAATGCTGAAATGGCACTTGGAAGGAGGGCTAGTGGGTGCTCTTCCAGTGATGGGGTTTAAATGAGGAAAACTCCATCCATGTGTTTTGGGTATTCAGCCACTCTGACGCTTTGTGTGCAGGAAAATGGAACAACATCGCTCTGGTGCCACTTTTCATTGTCCCCACCATCACCTTACAGTGTGAGCCCCTCAACAACAGAAAGCCAAGTGTCTGAATCTTTAGGACATATTTCTACATGCAGAGCTGTCATTTGGCTTCTGGCAAGGCCATGCTGCCTCTTAGCAGGTGCCACAGCCTTCATTTCTTTTGGAAATCTATTGCCTTATCATAAGCAACTGTGAAAAATAAAGATTCACACTGTGACCATATGATTCTCACACAGATTGCAGAGAAAAGCTGTAGAAAGGTTAGAAATAGTAAAGAAGCACTTCTTTCTGACTTGGACAGTCTCCAAATTACTATTGACCCAGCCCAGAGCATGTCTAGATGAAAAATGAATGTGCAGCAGTCCATGTCCTATTGTTCCTTCCAACGAGTAAAGGATTCATCATGAAAGTTATATTAAAAGAAGTTAAATGACCTTCTGTTATTCACACAAACCTAGAGCTTTAGAATTTGTGATTCTGAACAGTCCTGTTTGCTGTATGTCCTTAGGGATTTTTTTTTTGTTTTAACAGCATGCAGCTTGACAGAAATACACTACCCAAAAAGGGATTAAGGTATATATATTTTTGAGCATGACTGCTGCTTCTCTATTTTCCTGTAACCTCTTCTATGCTGCCTTTATTTTTCTATCTCCTTCTGTTGATCCTGTTTATGACAGAGCTCTTGGAATTTCAATTCAAACCATAAAATGTAAATTTTAACAATGGACTTTTTCTTTCCATGTCTGCCTAAGGAATAAGTCTTCTTTCAAGATATACCATGGAAAGTAAATACTATTAGGGATAATTTCCTTATGGAATGAATCTTTAAAAGGCATTGAATCCTGGAGAGCTAAAAGAGACAGAACAATATATTTATGCAATTCAATAGGTCTAATTATTGAAAACATTATGGAGAAAAACAAGACTTTAGAGGTGGATCTGACTTTGGACTCATGCAAACACTCATGCAGTTTAAACTGGAGAGCTCTGAAGGGTAGGGCTAGAAAATACTAATTTTACTATCCAAGGTTTGTAAGTATAAAATGTTTGCTGCTCCATACAGTTTTCTTGGTCCTTATCCAGCAATACAGAGTCCAGCTTTGCTACTAACACTTCACTAAATTCTGTCTTCATCACAGAATTTATCTACCCTCTTCTCTCCTCCATGGTGAAAAGAGCAGATTATTAGGTAACTTAGTTAGTCTCATGAGGCATGGAAGCCCATCTCCCCAGTCCAGGAAGAAGATTTGGCAAGCAAGGATATATGTGCATGCACACAGACACTGCGGCTTTCTAATAACTGAGATTGCACCATTAAATCTCCTGAGTTATGAGTAAATATTTGTGAAATTTTAAGATAGTGCTAAACTGTTGTCACTATAATGCACCTTCTGATGTTCTGCACTAGCTGTTCCTTAATAAGAATTTAGTCAACATTTTTATCATCACAGAACAATCACTTTGGATTTGGAGAGAATGGAAAAGGTGGAAGACATTAAAGGCATAATGAGGACCCTGTGAGGATAATATGGGATGATCAAAGTTTGTGGCTGTACACCTGTAATGGTGGCTGAAAGCTGAAAGTGAATTGGAGTGGGAATAATGCTTATAGGCATATAAAAAAAGATCAGTTATCCCAGGAAAAAAAATCTGTTTGATTTAATGTGCAGAGCAGCCAGTCCAAAACTCACATCCTGATTTCTTGTTTTGCCATCTTTCCAATCTGATAACCACTCAGTAACTTTGTGCTCTACTACAATTATAGGCAAAGATCATAGTTGTATTTTTGAAAGGAGAAAGGAAGTTAATATTTAATAAGGTCAAGATGGTTTACTGCTGTAAAATACTGTACAACACCCCAAGCACAACACAAGAACTTACATGTTCTTTTAATTTTCTCTCTAAGCAGAAACACTTGTGCCTCACAAGCCTGAAGCCAGAATATCAAAAGCCCTTTCTACACTGCTGTTTTGGGGAACACTGATGGCTCATGACAGTAGCAAAGGAGGTGTTCATTTCTCAGCAGGATTTTGTCTGAATGAAGCATTTCATTCTGATTTTCAGACATTGCTGAAAACAAATCTCTTGATTAAGACCCACACTGTCTGCACATTTTAATGTTTAATCACTGCCAGAATTGTCTTTCTTCCAGCTCAGCCAAGGCTGGACCCAGTGAGTTACCAGTTCTCCCTCTTGGCCCACATGTCACATTGCACTTGTTTTATTGGTTTACCATAGGAAGCAGTTGATTAATTATTTGATTGCCAAACTTCTTCCTTCCAGAGAACTTCTTTCTGCTAATTTTTTATTTTTCCTGTCCCTTTCCCTCCCCTCAGTTTGGGGCAGGACACAATGTCAGGTAGCATTCAGAGCAGCGCATCTAGTGCATATGACCATGAGTAGCTGTCATTACCAATGCAAACTCCTCTTTCAGAGTTGTTGATCTGTTTCACTCCTGTTGTCTAATCCGTTGCCCACATGATGTGTGACAGATGTCATTTTGTAAGTGGTTACTAACGTTACTTGGCTTCTATTCTGCCTATCCCCATCCTAACCATACGGCTTCCAAGCTTTTGCATCAACCTGTACACTTCCTATAGCTTTGATGTCCTTTTCTGTCAGCTCAGTTGTCTGTCTGCTATGGTTTATCATCCTGTCTCTTCAAAAGAAGGGAAGGCTGTTTTGGGGAGGGGGATGAAGAGTAAGGGGGGGTTCAAGTCCTGTATGTTTTCAGTGTAACCCAATGGTAAACTGTATCTAGTTAAAATCTCTGGTCATAATCACTTGACTGGACTTGATGTTTTCCTAGGGATTTGTTCTGTCTAACTGGTGAAGGGTATTTATGTGACAGCTGTTTCTTTCTAAGGCATCACCTTGTCATTATCTTGAGCATGCCAGCTGTGGTTTTTCAGATACACACCATCATCCCGGCAGACAAGTCAGGAGGAAGGCAAGGAATGGCTGCGCTCCCATTCAACCGGAGGCCTGCAGGACACTGGCAGTCAATCCCCGCTTGTTTCTCCTTCAGCTATGTCTTCATCTGCAACTGGAAAATATCACTTTTCCAACCTGGGTAAATGCTGTTTCCCTTCACTGTTTCTCCCTCTCTTTAATGGAACCATAAAATTCAGCTGTACATATATCTTAGTCTGCCAGACTAGGTAGTTTATATTTAACATCGTCATCACCATATTATTGTACCTCACTAATGAGGGGAAACTCATAGTGTGGCTAATGAAGTGGGTCAAGGTACCACCTATTTTGCAGAGAGGAAAAAAAGGATAGATTCTTTATGACTTGACCAAGGAGATAAATTTTGAGGGAGAGTGGAAATTAGCTTCTAGTTCAAAGCTATTCATCTTTTAGATTTCATAGTCAGTAGGATTCTTTTCAATGATTCCAGGGAATGTCAGAAACTAAACATTGCATTTTTCCTACAGAGGTTTGCTTTGAGATAGACCTTTTCAATGTGTTTCAGTAGCTGGACCTGGCTATAACTGCACTGGGCCAATCCAAACCTAACCTTGAATGTAATATAGTATTTTGGGATGACATTGCAGTTTTATTTGTTTTCGAACCAAATTTTAGATTTGGTTCTTCTGAATATTGTTTCAAATTAATCCAACACAAGTTTATTTTTTTATAGTATTATTTCTTTCTTTAATTCTGAATAAAACCCACTTCTCTCCACTGAATTTGTCACATACTTAGGTTCGCAATGAGCTTTTTATGATTTAGGCCCCTAGTAAGGAATTACTAACATCCTTTGAAGAATTAAGACTTCTATCTCTCTGTCACAGCTTATGGCATCTGTAGGTTACGATCACTCAAAAGAAATTTGATCAGACATACACATGTTAGTCTTTACTACATACAGGAAAAGAAGTTGAGCTAAGCTACTTTTAAAAATGAAATTGGATCCTCGTTAAACAAGCCACTGCTTTGAATTTTCCTCCTGTAGTTTTAGACAGTTTTTTTCCATGTCACAGTTATAGGCAGTGTTTTTTCACTATATTATTTTCTGTTTACAATCATGGCATTTTCTTTTTGTTCATAATTCTTCTGTACTCACAATATAGAGAGAAATAAGATCATGGGGTTTAAAATTTATTTTTTGATTGTCCTTTGCTTTATTTCAGTTTTCATAGCCCTGTGGAATAATTTGCTCTTACAACACAGCTGTTCTGGTAGTTTATAACTTAGGACACATCTTGGATAATCTAAACTAAAAGTCCAAATCTAAATTAAAAGTCCAAATACTGAGGCTGAATTTGGCTAGACAGTTAGCTTTTTCTCCTAGGCATTGAGGTTGTGTGGTCCAGGGGAACCATAGCTAGGCTTTCCTTCCTACTGGCAAAAGAGCTTTGTGAAAGCTTAAAGTAGGTTCATCAACGCTGTTCTTGATTTCAACCGTGTCTGACTACACCTCTTTATTAGGATGAGATTTAACTGAGGCCTTTGCACAAATATTTAACCTAATATAGTGGTAGGTGTGCTCCTGTAAATCAAAGAATAAATATCTTATATATGCAAATAAACTTTGGCCTTAACAGCAGTCAGTAATAAAGGTATATAACTATGAAATACAGATACTGATTCATTAGAAGAGCTGCTTATAAAAGTACTTATGACCTCTTATTCCTTGTAAACTTTTGAATCTCCCCCATTGATTTTCTATGGGCTGCCAAAGGGTGTTCAGACGCCAGTGTTAGCGTTACCATGTGCTTTACAGGATTAATGTCACCCAGCTCTTTTGAGGCCATCTGCTCCACCTTTTTGTTGAAGCTTTAAATGTAGGAATAAAAGCCTTCCATTGTCTCAACAGCATGAAGTCCACCTAGTGCTAGTCCTACATTAAAATTTTGTGCAGAAGCAAAATTCACTTAATGGAAATGTGCTTCAATAATAAAGCTTTTTATTCCAGTGAGTCCAACCAGCCTATCACAGTTTAACCTTCCTGGGCCCAGCATGATGCGTTCAAACAGCATCCCTGCACAGGACACCTCTTTTGATCTCTACGATGACTCCCAGCTGTGTGGCAGTGCTACGTCCTTGGAAGAGAGACCACGAGCAATCAGTCATTCAGGTTCATTCAGGGACAGCATGGAAGAAGGTAAGACTGAGTAACTACTTAAATTGACAAACACATCCCAAAATAGATGTCCAAAACATAGTAAAATTTTAAAATATTTCTTCTGCACCCTGCACCACAGAAACTTAAATGATTTTGTGAAGCTTTTATTGATCCTGTTGAGTTGGACTCACAAGCCTTTCTTATCCTGAAACATGGAAGATTTCACACTATTACTTTCACCCAGTAATAAGCAATGCTGTATGTGTCTCATACATATACAAATCCCCTATCAGAAATTTTGGAGGAAAGGAAGCCATTCTTGGAAAATTATTCTTTTTCCTCTAAATCTGAAATGGCTGAACGTACCTTGACTACTGTGTTTCTCTGCTTTCTTAATCCTACTTCTGTGCTTCCTTTTATTTCCCCAAACACCAGTGCTACTTAACATCTCCTTCCTTTTGTAGTCATTTATATTCCTCACTTTCCTACAGTCTCCTGCAGCAAACACCATGCAAATTTCTTTATTGAAATTCTGTAATTTGAACTGACCTCACTACTTTATGCAGATTATTACTGTCTGCTTTCTTTAATGCTACCTGCAACATCTGGAACTTGGTGAATTTTTTTTTTTTTTTTTTTTTGGTTTTGGGTTTCGCTCTTTTTTCATCCAGAGAGAACCTGACAACTCCTAATTAAATGCACTGTAACATTTTCTTCTAACTAACATTTCTGGTAAATCTGATTATTTGCAGAATTCCCATGAGTGCAAAGTCCTTAAATGCTTTAATTAAACAAAAAAGACAACTGAAACCCTGTGCAATTCATTCTGTAACAATCATCTTGCTTACTGCTAAGCGATGACAATGTAAATTATCTTTATAATAGGCAAATTAAAAAAGTCTTGCCTTAGCCTCAAAGGTCACAAGATAAAAGGAATAAAAAAAGTCCTACATAAAACAACAGACAAATAACGCTTCTACTTTTTGATTCCTTTTACTGTATTTTAGATGATATATCAGGCAGACATCTGGGTATGTAATACTAGCAGCAGGGTGCAGGACAACTCAAGCTGTGAGTTGTCAGCACAGAGAGGATGGCTGACTGCACGGAAGAATATCACATAATTCAAGGACAGAGCTGACTACAGACCCTTTGCTGAGGAACACAATTATCAAAGGCAACACTGGAAGAGTAATAGAGAAAACAAAGCAATTAATGCCTAGAAAAAGAGGTGTTAAATGTAGAATTTCAGTAATGGGCCACCAGTGGTTTTGATGAAAGCTTTTTCATTAGTTCTGTTTCATATCCAGCTGGAGTGGATAACTGTGATCAACCTGAGTAAATGACAGTCAATGCAGCAGCAAGAAACAGTTTTCAGCAGTTTATGATCATTAGAGATTAACATGAAATGATGCTGTTAGAAGGTCAGATATATTTTAAGATAGGAGCTCTGAGGAAGGTTAAAGTGAAACAAGTGAGGTAATGCATGGTGCAGAATGGCAGTTTAGCTCAGACATTTAAACCAGAGACTGAAAATCAAACATACTTTGGAAGCCACTCCATTTCAGTGGTCAGTGTTCCACATTTCTGTAAATAGAAAACTAGATTTAAAGTCCATTTGGCTAATCCAAGTATTCTTGTAGTGTCTGTTTTTTGCAGACAGGTAGCTATTAAAGCAAAATACTTTTTTTTATCAAACCCTGGCAAATGATAAATATTCTTAAAAAACCCATCTTGTAAAACAAAAATAAAAAAGGTAAGGAAATAAATTATCTTATTTGAAGTTGTCTGTGGGTATAGCCTTCCTCAGGAGAGTCATCAGAAGCACAAGGGGCAATTTTTTTTACAGTTTGCCATTTCCAGGTAAACCAGGAACTCCATTTCCTAAAGTGCAGCCCTACAGCATTCACTCAATGCTCTTGAGGCTGACTCCACTGAGGATTAAGGGAAATATGTCACTACCCCTCACAGTTACCCCTTCCCATGGACCACAACTACACGGGTCAACCTTTCTGAGGAAAGCTTGGGAGCTCACCCCACGGAATGTGAACTGTTTTCCAAAGCATATCTCTTACTAAAATAATTTGCTCAGCTTAGGACAGGTGTATAAACAGCTCGATTTCTGGTTTCTCTGAAGAGTTCATTTATCAAGTGATTTCTTGTCAAAGCAACAAAAGTGATGCTTGGTTAGCTGAGAATAACACAAAATGTTATTGGCTCACTCACCTGTCCCTTATACAGGAAAATGTTTTCTCTGTATAGGACAATTCATTCTATAACAATCATCTAATTGCAGGGAAATCTGTCAATAGCTATTCTATACTGATAGCTCATAATTGCTCTTTGTGGAAAATTGGTTCTCATTTTAAAAATTTGTTTACTTATTGAGCTACATGGGGGAAGTTTTATGCTTTCAGCAATATTTCATGTTATTTTCCTTTTCTTAAAGTACATGGGTCCTCATTATCACTTGTCTCCAGCACATCCTCTCTCTACTCTACGGTGAGTATCAATATTTTAGAAAAAAGTTCTGCCTGCCTCTGTTCTTGATCATGGTTTGTGAAAATTTCAGTACTTTGAGATCTAGGAGAATTAGAATTTTACTGCAATAAAGTAGGAATGTTTGTTTTTAGCTTTGTACTACAGCATACTATTTTAGAAAACATTGTTTTCACCTTTTTATGTGAATTGTTTATTAATGTTTAAAATCATTCAGTATACATTTTGAAAGCTAAAAAAAAAGGTGAAAGTCTAAGAGTGCCTCTCTTATGGGGGTCTTTATGCTATTGTAGTTGACCATTTTGAATCATTTTGCTTACCTTCAGCTACTGCATAATTTAGAAAATTATTTCTCTCCTGGCCTTGTTTGAGGTAAACTTCTTGAAAACCACAGATTGTCTTAGGTTAAGGGAGATGTAATTTGGAGTTTAAGTGTCTACTGATTTTACTTGCAAGTGGCAGCCTTTAAGTGTTATTTACAAAGAGAAGAAAATAACTTTCTAAAACTTTAATCTTCATTACTTAGATTAATTAGATTGAATAATAGTCTGTTTCTATCTCCAGAAGTTGTTCTGGGATTGATTTTTTTTTTCCTCTCTTTTATTTTTTGGTTTGTTTGGTTGGTTTTTTTTTTTAACCTTATGGGGGATTTTTTAATATATTTTGCATCATTTTTTGCTTTGGTTGTTCTACTAACAAGAAATCATCCATAGGGAGCAGTTGAACATGTTTGGTCATTACCTTGCTGATACACAGCAGTTGCTTTGCAACCTCCTCACAAACTACAACTGGATGCTGCAGGAACCCCTTTTCACAGAACAACAACCCACTTACCTGCTTTCATCCCATGCATTCATCAATACCGTGTGTCCTCTCCATGTGTCCAGCTCTTGAGTGGTGTCAGCTGACATTCCAGAGATGGACTCCTCTACCCAGAGCCAGTTCTTGCCTAGGAATACCAAGCTCCTGCAGTTTGATGATTTGTAGCACATGGTAGCTCTGTCTCAATGCTAAACTCACATTAGCTTGGGAAGTATGTTGTATCCATGCACAATGGTGCCTCTCCTAGCTCTGTTAAATTATAAAAAGGTTCTTTCAAGGGCATATCTAAAACATCAAGTACATATGCCTTAGGTTTTTCCAGGCCTTAAACTGCAAGTTGCAAGTCATTCCAGTCCAGACCAGTCCTGAATTATTTGGAAGCAGGAGAGGGGAGGTGAAGGTGGGAGATGTAGAATGTATATACAGGCTGGCTACATGTGAGGCATGACTTACAGTCAGAGTTAAGCTTCTCACTTATGTTTTAGTGGTTGAAAAAATCTTTGGAACTATTTCCTTGTCTGTGAGACACTAATATCAGTTTGCATGGGAAGGTGTTTCAAAAATTATAATTCAAGCTTTGATGTCAAATTTTAGAAGAATGTTATGAAACTGATAGATGAAAAAAATCAAGCTGTAAAGTGACACAGGATGCTTTCAGCACCCAGTAAGTGAGTAACTCTGAAATATCTGTGTTCTGATGTTGTGTAATGTAGCAAGAATTTACTAATACTTACTATTTATATAACCTTTTATATTTCAACAGAGTATCTTGGAAATATTAACTAAACCCCATGATATTAAAGAGTGGTATTTTCCCTGCAAAATAAACTTTAAACTGTTTACCCAGGTTCATACTATAAATATCTTCTGACTGTGAATTCACATTGCAGCTGAGCCCCACTCCTTAAGTAATGGATTATGTAGGCAAAATAATGGAAGCTGCAGAAAAATCTGAAAAGCGCTGGAAATAAATTTGGCATAAATAATTACTAGGACTGACTTTTAGCGAAGATTTTTGATCTGAATTTCTTCTGCTTGAGCCCTCTTTGAAAATGGTTTAAACTTTTCAGCAATAAATCAAAAGATGATGCACAAGTGGATTAGGAACCTGAAAAGTTTAACACTCACATCAGCTGAGTGAAGAGAGCAATGGGATATCTTCACAGAGTTATCTCAATTAAATGTATTTATTAGATTTCTCAAGCATTGTCATAAGCCTTAGTTCCAGTGTTTTCTGTGACCTAATCACTAGAGAAATTCAATCAAAGTACTAAATGAAGATCAAGACCTTCATGTATAATTACCAGAGGATAGTTGAAAATCTTCAAGTTATTCTCTGAAGTTTGTTTCTTTGGGAATTAGAATATGAGATTCAGAAGAGACATTTCATTATTTTCTACCAGTGAATAAGTCCAGTGACACAGAAGTTCTGCATTCACTACTCTTTTCTGTATATATTGGCTTTCTTCTTGACTTGCATTTGGGTTTTCAGGACTTAACTTGCATAGATTGAAAATGGAGCTTGTAGTGATATGCATGTACAGCGACCTCCATTTTGTTTCAGAGAAAAATATACCATGTGAGCAGACATAGGAAACTGATTCAGTTTTGTCAGTGAATTCATTTAGCCCTGTGAGTAATTGAAAAAATTATGATAGGTTGTCTCCATTTTCAATCTCCTCCTGCTCAGTAGGTGAAACACTTAAATTTTCCTATATTTAGTTAATTGCCAATTTCCTACACTGGCTCTCAGCATTAGCTACACTTTGACTCCCTAGGCCTCATTGATTGTGCTAGGCTGTGCTCAGAGGAGTTCTATAAGGACATGTCATTTGTACCTTAATGTTCTAAGACTTCAAAGAAAGAAAAATAATCCTTGCAAGGATGGGATGCATGCATATAATGCAGAAGTAGAGTGAGAAAAAGAATTTTCTTCCTTTTAGAGCCTATTGGAACAATGGCTGAGTCCTGGGTTACAATGGTGTGAGCATAAACTTAAGTAAAAACTACTGAGATGCATTTGATTGTCAGATTCTATTTTTTTAAGCTGGTCCAAAATCCTGGTCTTTCTCATTCATTTACTTCCTTCACTGCCCACAAAATCTGACTTGTGAGAGCCACCTCTCTGAACTTGGGGAGAGGCAACACTTCCTTCTGCATTGAGGGAGTTGTCTGGTAAGGACATGTAGCAGTGCCTTCATCAGCAGGTTTGGTGCTCCAAGGACCATGTCCCCACATGGCAGTTCTAGGAAAAAGTCACCAACCCTAATTTTTTGCTTTTGTTGTCAAAGAAGAAATTATGAGGCCATCGTCACCTCAATCCCTTTGTTACCCTCCATGCACTACATATTTGATGTAACAATAATGGGAATAGAATATAATTTTTTTTCTGTAGGCAGATCTTCTTTTTGTAAATATTGATCAGAAAGTTAGTGTCACATCAGTGATGAGAAAAAAAAATCATTATACTAAATTATCCTCACATAGCGATGTGTCAGGTATTAAAGTAGTTTCAGCCAAAAGCATTTCTAAGTGTTGCCAAGGTAAATATCATAGGATCACAGTCTGTTTAGGGACTGCTAACAGATAAGCATGTATGGAAAGAGGCATTTTCCAGAAGTCTTCTCCCCTTATGCAAGGTAAAGCAAAAAAAAAAACATTTCTGTCATAAATCATTAAAATCCTGACAACAAAATTAATGCCTAATACAGGCTCAAATTCAGCCATACTGATTTGTAATAACAGTGTAAGACAGACAGTCCTATGCCAGAGAACTTTTGAAGTGCCCTTACCTTGGGTTTTCTCAGTGTTTCTAATGTTATTTAGAGGTAATTGCTTAGCTACGTTTCCCTTCTACTGCTTACTGTTCTCTTCCAGATAATGTAGACTGCTTCTCTGAACGTGGGCCACTTCAGACCATGGGATGGATTAATTTCCAGTTCATTAACTGATTCTTATTTTATGTTATGAAAGGGTTCCTTTCTTGTGTCATGCCAATCTTTTCCATTAGAATCCTACTGAAGCAAGATTTATCTGTCCACTGAATGTCTCCTTAACAGGACTGGTCCAATGCTTAGAAACTGAATGACTTTCAAAGGTTTACCTTGCAGTGGTTTAGTTTCTTAGCTTGTTGAAAAAGGCTGCTGAGTAAAAAGTTTCAATATATGACACAAGACATTGCAATATGGAAAATACTTAAATTATTAAATAATATTAACAAGTTTAATTGAAAACCTTAACATGCCTTGATAGCCCTTAATATTTTGGTCAGTACTCTGTATAGAAGAAATTACATTAAAATGCAAGTTTCCCTCCCCTTTCCCAATGTATGTTTTACTGGTATTCTGTCAACTTCTCTTATCAGAGATTACATATTATCATATTAGGAACATGCCTTGGTATGCAGTAAAACAAATTTAAATCCAGGAGCGCTAATAATCATTGCAGCATAAATGTTTTTTTGTGTCAGATTAAGGCCCATGCAGTGAGAGCATAGTAAATTTTTGTTTTTTCTTTGAAATGTAGCTGCAGTTTCTGCAGTTCTGGTCCTGCTCTCCCTTTCTCCACCATTTCATTTTGTCAGTACGCTGGCAAACTCTTTGGGGTTTCAGCTGGAGCTTTGCCAAGCAAGCTGAAAAGAGTTCCATTTATTGTTTTTACTGGATACCTTCCTTTAATGTAATGGATGCGTGCAGCTATTCATTTCACTTCAGTGCGGCTGGCTTTTATGTTCTATTACCACAATTATGTTGCACACTGATTCTGAGCCATTTCTTCTTTGTTTTCTTCCAGGCAGAAGAAAAGGCACATTCAGAGGTAAGAACTTTTCTTCATTTTTATACTTCTGTATTGCTTACATTATTTTTTAGTTTATTGTTTACCTGCTTTGGCTAAACTGTGTAGTTGGTGGGGAAAATACACCCTGTGTCTTTGCATCATCTTTTAAGAAATACTGGTGGAAACCTGGTGCAGCTTTTAGTTAAGTAGAAGGTGTTTTCTTAGCATTGTGCTGAAGAAAGTCTCCTGGCTGTCATTCTGAAAAGATGAAAAGAGTCAGTAAGAACTGGGCGTTGAGTGGAGGAGTTGAGATAGGTCTGATTTCAGACTTAATACCACTCTGTGCAGGATCTAAGGAATTGTGTGATTCAAGGTAAGGTGCTACCTTTCAGGAGGAAAACTACTTCAAATGATCGCTTTGAACTTCTCTCCCTCACATTTTGAATTATATTAAATTTCTGAAACTGACCACTTTGATGGATTTCAGAGCAATGCAGATTGATTTCAGATATAAATCAAATTTGACATGGAAAATAGCTTCTTTCTCCTCACAATGTATAAGAATGGGTGACAAGCCTGGGTCAGCAGCTGGATACAATTACAGCCTTTCTCAAAATGAAGTCCTGATTGTATTAAAAGGGCACCAAAGAGTAGCTGCAATAAAATACAGCACCAAGGGGTGCATTTCCACTTCACAGAGCTACATGCCTTCCAACTCCAGCATTTATGCTGCTCCTATTTTTACTATTCTAATCAAAGAAAAAGTCAACAAAAAGATATTTTGAAGACATTGAACAAATAAACATATCCTTCCCTCCTTGCTGCAGTATATTTCAATATAATTTCGTCTAAGCTCACATCTCTTTAAGTTAAAACAAAAGAGTTAAAGAGGCATGTTATAGCTCAGTAGTGTAAATTCCAGTTCCTCATTTTATTGCCTTTTCTGTAGGTCTGAATATAGAAAATAAACAGCATTTCTTTTCTGTGTATTTCTACATGATATTTTCTCAGTATCTGGGTCTGCTTGAGATGCTCTTAGAGATGTTGGACAGTACTTCATGAGACCTACCTTCGTGAATTTGCAAGAGCATGATGAAAGTGTAGCTTAAGCTGAAATGTCAAACAATTTCATTTAAAACCAAAAGAGAAAACTTGGAAAAATAAAAGGGTCAGTCCAGGATGGAGAACAGCTCGATAATCTGCCCCTGTTGCACTGAGCTAGTGTAAATGACTGAGCTATTTTTGCATTATAGAAGTACAGGAACATGTTCATGTTGCTTGTACAGTATTTCTTGTTGGTTTTCATGGGAGTTATAAAACTAAAGTACTGCAATGGTCTTTACTAGTGACTGTAAATGTTCCCTTTCCTAGGCTGGTTTTACCCATTTTATTTCTCTTGTCTGAAATAATTTACATCTGAATATGAGAGGCTCTTCAAAGTGAAACTCCATGCTGTGCTTGATTTCAGTAAAGTGCCCAGAAGTCCCTGTAAGATCTCAAATAGGGTTAAATGGGCTTAAAATTATGTGCAAGCTTCATGTTAGGTATCTACACCAGCTGAAATGGAAACATGTTTTTCATAAGGATTCTGTTTTTCATTTAAGGATAAAAGGGTCGTGAGTTTATTTTCATGTCAACAAGCACATTTAAAGCTACATTTATTTTTTTTAAGTTGGCAAGTAAGTTTTTGAATACTATATAAGATTTAAAGAGGTTGCATGTTTGAATTTCAGGGACTGTAGGAAGCATATTTTAGAGAAAAAAATACTACTTTACCTCACCTAATTTTAGACATCCATAAAGAAAAATCTTGTGTCTGAGGTAGACATCAAAGCCTTCTTTGTGCCAGGCAGCATGAGAGTACATTTTTCACATTATCTTTGTCTACTGTAGACATTCAACATATGTTGGTTGCATCATGTCTACAGTCAGGCACAGCGAACCTCACCCATATGCACTCGTGTTTCAAAACCTCAGGCTACATCTTCTTGATTGCACTAAGCATATGTTTGGGACTTGTGGGATTTCGTAAAAACTTATGACATTTCCCTTGCAAAAAAGGATAATACATACAAAGTAATTAAGCATTTACCCATGTGTGCTCTCTTAACTTGAATCCTGGCTCATACACCAGGTTGAGTGCTAGAAAACAGTTGGAGCAACACTGGGCTACAACTTCTAATAATTTGTATTTCTGGACAGTTCTGAGATTAAAATTTGAAGCTAAGACATTGTAAATCTATTGATTGTCTCTCAAGAAAACATACAAAATAACCACAACAAAAACATTGCTGAATTACTGACAACAGTCTGTTGTTTCTTTAGCAAATTCAGAAACTACGGAGAGAGTTGGTTGCATCACAGGAGAAAGTTGCTACCCTTACTTCTCAACTTTCAGCAAATGTAAGTATTTTTGCTTGTGATGATAAGTAGTATCAACGAATACATTACCAATTGCTCTTCCTCAACACATAGTCTTGGAGACATTTACTATTTATTTATTTAGGGTTTTTGTTTTCCAAGTTAATGACTTAATTGAATTTCTACATTGTCCCAGCTTCAAGAAAAACTAATCTTGTGGAAATGGAAAGTAGGCAGTGTATTGGAATATTATCCCAATATTACCAGGTGGAACGTGCCTGGGCTCGTCTGACCCTCGCTGCTGGACCAAAGGTGGCAGCTGTGGTGTTTCACCTCAGAGACACCTTTGGCTGGCTGGAAGTTGCAGTTAGGCACTTGGAACAACTCCAGGCATGGCAGAAACTCAGTTTACCTCTGATGGAAAGGCTCCAGGCTAGGTGAAGAGGAAAAGGAGACAGATTTGCAGAGGGTTTAATCCAGAGTTTTATTCCAGGGTCACAGAGCTCTGAATCTTGGTAACAGCTCCACAGAATCCCGACTGCATGGGCGCGTCTCTTTTTAAGCCTGGGGAAAGTGGGAGGGGAAGGGGTAGGTGTGCCACCAACCAGGTGGGAGCGGGGGAGTCTCAGGGGACAATGACACCTAGACTGGCCAATGACCCCAGGGCTGGGAAGCATCTTTTGAACTGCACCAACCAGACAATGGCCTTGCTGGAATGTTAAGATTGACTGACAGCACTTAGCAAGGAGGTGAGGGGGAGGGGAAGGGAGAAGGTATTGCCACACCTGGGAGCTGAAACAGGAAATGGCATCACACTGCAACAGCAGTGGAAATGGAAAGTTTCCACAGTTTGAATGTGACAGTCCTACCCTGTTAAGTTTCATCCTTTTCTCAGAATCAATTTTAACAAATGGCCAAAAGTAAGGAGACACAACCAAAGAAAGGCATGATTTGCATATTCTAATAGAATTCATGCGTGTTTAATTTCACAAAGACAAACCCTGCAAAATGCAGTCAGGTGTGAAGGGAAGCATAGTCTACAAGTGTATATAGGATTTATATGCTACAAGAGTAGTGCTGATATATAACTAATTAAAACTGGGCTATTTCACAGAGCTTCCTGGTGTTCCCTCAAATTAACATGTATTGGTAATATGAGTTATGGAACGTGTTATCTGAAAATAATGCCAGATACAGAATGCAAGCGACAATCCTGTCTAGTTGATGTGGTTTCAGGAGAAGTTACTGAACAATCTCTCTTTGAAGTGTAGGTGTCCTGGATATTTAGATTTATAAATAAGTGCTGATTTCAAAGAAATTATTTCATGTTGTGAGAAAATAATCTCTAGCTCTGTGAAAGCTGCTTGTTTGTGTGTGACTTCCACACATGAAAATGTGGAAAAGCTATGCTGAGCACTTTCTTCTCTGTTTAGATAGCTGCAGGGCACCCGTGTTTGTGCATCTGTAGCAGTGTAGGTTGCCATACTCTTCTGAGTACTGGGAATGAACTAGTGAATCAGATGATGTGGGACATTGCAATGTTTGTAAATTCAAAATCTGGATTCTGGGTTGGGTTTTTTCATTTGAGAATGTATAGCTAGAGTAGCCAGCATATCTGTATTGGGTTTGGGGCTCCTTCATTCACAGGTTTTAGACACTGACCTTCATTTTTACCAGTTTGGGCAGTTCTTCATTCATCTATCCTGAGAGCAACAAACTAAAACCCAAACTGAGAGCAGAGAAGAGCTAAAATAGCATTCTTTGGGTAGGTGTATTTGCTAGTGAGTCTGTTGTTCTCTGCAGGGCCCTTTTCTTTCCACAAAAAATGCAGAGGTGCAGCAGCAGTGTGGAGCACAGGAAGGTGATTCCTGGCTGGACTTGTGACACAGCACAATCACAGACATGCCCATATCTACTCTGAGTGCCCTGGTGTTATCCAAAGGAGTTGTCTTGATTCCAGCAAGCCCCTGATTTAGTGAAAGATGTATCTGCCCCCAGTCAGAAGTTGGACTAGATGATCATTAAAGGTCCCTCCCAAACCAAACCTTTTCATTATTCTAAATCGAGGTGTCATATCAGTTAAATTAAATTGTTTGCCTTTGGTGAGCTTGTACTCAGTGCCTGTTCCAGGTGATAATTCAGGGCCCCTGACACCACTCCTCTCTTTATTCTGCAGGTAGAAAAACAGTTTTCCCTTCCCTCCTTTCACTGGCTCAGAACAGAAACACCAGCAGATTCTTTCTAACTGCTGTGTTGAAAGGGAGAGTTGAAAGATTACTCAATCTCCGTCACTTTTCAGTCAACCCAGAAATGCTGCAGCCTATAATATGGCAACAAGTGCAATAATGTCAGAGCGTTCTCTGCAGCTGAGGAAATTAAGCCATTGTTTTGTTTGTTTGGACAAACTGTGTCCTATCTCTCCTCAGTCTTATTTAGAAGTCCTTCATGACTCCTCTGGCCAATACGACTTTCTATTAAATAAACACCATACAGGATGGTTTCTAATAACATTATTTATTCTAGACAAATTCGAGTCAAAGCCAGGTCCACGCTATAATTAGATTTTATCCATAATTCAAAGAAACTGAGCTAAGTTAAAAATGGGTATTTTGGCTTGGTTTTTACTCAAACTAAATCAGCTGCGTGGGTAAGAAATAAATTTGGGTTGATCTGTATAAATCAGACTGGATTGTTGGGAATCTGTTCCTATATGCTGCCTCTGGGCTTCTGAACAGCTAGGAAGAATGCTTTTCTATGGATCTAACTGTAAGGACATTTTCAATAGGATGGCTAAATATATATGCATAGACATCTGGTTTTCCTATCCAGAAGTACCACATTTGGTTAATTTAATCATGTTCTTTTGACTGTTACACACCTTCTAATCCATCTCCATGGAGATACTCTTTAAACTCTAAACCTATAAGCAAACCTAAGGCTGATCCATTTTGCACATGCATTTTTTAAATGATACAAGAGAAATCTTTCCTCTTCCCAAATCCCCAACATGTAGAAATTCCTTCAAAATTAAATTTTTCAGGAGCACAAAATGTAGAGGCTTCAAAATCCCTAGGCATGAAAAAAATTATATTCACAATGAATACCATCTTTAAAAAAACATAGATATTACTAGATATTGGGAGTAAATATTTTTGGCAGGATGTTCTCATGAGAGACATACTTTACAAAACCAAAAAATTGTGAAGTATTTTACAATAAACCTGGTCCTGAATTAATTTTCTGCTGTTTCTGGTACAGAACTTGTAAAGTATTAAAACAACACTTCCACATGAATCCAAACAATCAAAAGAGACTGCTTTTTAGCACTCCTTCTGTCAGTCCTTCAAGCATTTTACGAGAAGAAATTTTACAAAGTATCTCTTAAACATCAGCAATAAAATCCAGGTTGAAAGCGGAGAGTATATTAAACTATTTAATTGTGATACAACCACTGAAATTTATTTAATTACAGAATTGATGTTTAAATGCCACATATTAAGTACTTTTCCTGAAAATTCTGAGAATTATTAACAAAAAATTGATTTAACTTGGCAAACTTACAGAAAACCTAGATGGCTTTCTAGATTTCATGAACGTGTACTGCCTTTGCAATGTGTTCCTTTTGTGTATTCATTTATCATTTATTTTGTAGTCTAAGAGACTACATATTTCAGCACTCACTGCCTTTTAAAGGAGAAGTATTCCTAATCACAAAAATCTGGAATTTATTCTCAGAGAAGAAATCAAATCTCTACATGGATAATACTACTGTGACCCATTTTGAGTCATGCTTGCTCATCGGGAAGGCTAAGTCTTGAACGAACATTAAGTTTAATTCAGAAAAGTTTGATCACTGTCTGTCTTCTCTGGCAGACAGAGAACTGTATGAACAGGCTATCTTTTGTGGTGCTTTTGCTAATGAGAAAAATGCTCAGTCCTTTTTGATGCTTTTGCTGCAAATGCATTCCTCTTAGCATTAGTCCTTAGTGTTAGTCCTGAGCCCCTCCTAATTTCCATACCTTCACTGAAAATAGGCAGCACTTTTTGCCTTGATGTGGTCTGGAGAAAGAAAGTGTTAATAGCCAGAAATCCTGTTCCTTCAAAGCTCCATCTAGATGTGAATTTTTTGTTAGCATTTCCCTCTGTAGAACTGAGCAAAAGTACTGTATGTGAGTGAAAAAAAGAGCACCTTATTCAGCTCATTTCAACACTATTTGTTCCTTTCTTTGCTTCTCCATAGAAGACTGTTGGTGACGTTATTATATAAGTCATTAAAAGACTGGCAGGTTGAAATTTGACCTCTTCAATCAAGCCTTTGGTTGATACATTATTTTATACCAAAATCTGTCAATTGGAAGTTACAGCATTTCTCAGGCATTACTGAAAACTCTGCTAAAAATTTTATTATTTGGTTTGACTGGTTGTTCAGTTTTCGTTGGCTGGACTCAAGTACTATGCTTGACTTCAGCAGTTTATTTCATTTGATTAACCTCAAAGGGCCAAAGTGTTGCCTGCATATGATTAAATTCAAGCTGGGTCCAGCTGTCGTTTGGATGCTTAATTTACAGATTTTCTCTGAGATTCTTGCTTTACCCCTGGCATCTGTCTCAGTGTGGCTGAAGGGTAAATCTCAATACTAATTCAGAAAGGGCCTGTTTTCAGTGCAGAAAATGTCCAACCAGCAGACTCCGTATGTGACTGACAAGGGCTCAAATTCCAGTGAGCAGCCTGACCAAGCCTGTTCAGAGGGACTTTGATCAGACCTTTGTACTTATAAAGCTGAAGGGTGCATGCTTGCAAGCTGTAGTAGAGCCAGGATGCCAGTAGAAAGTGGAGGGGGTGTGCTGGCTAATGCTCTTGTTTGGCCAGCTCTGAACCGCTATCCTACAGCCAAGCAACAAGATGCTAGCAGGCAGCAAACAGAAAAGGCCACCAGATCTACAGTTGCTGCTTGCAATCAGCCCCATCTCTTCTGGCCTTTCACACCTCCTTTCATTCAGCCTTGTCAGGTGGGAGGCACTTTATTTATTTACCTTTGTTTTATAAATCCGAATGCCGAAGGTCAAATCCCAAAGTGTGTTGGAAGACAGATGTTTCATATGTGTATGTCATGTTCAGGATAGGCTGTAAACCTAAGCTGAGGTATCTGGGGCTTGCCTGGCTGGGATAGTTTACTAAGGAAATGGTTAAAATCAAATCTGTCATCTTAGCACTGAAGTCATTCCCTAATCATACATCTCTTTGACTATTTCCAGTGGGCATTTCGCATGTTAATAGAGGTCAAAATTAACTCATATGTGAACGATATCTACAGATTAAGAGCTGTATATCTATGTATCTTATATGTATGTCATTTTAATGATGGATATATTTTGCTGCAGGCATACTTCAGGTAATGCCCAGTTACTTAACTCTAATTCCAGGATGTCTTTTTTTCAAGTATAAATACTGTATTCAATTTTGAAGACATATTTTTACTTTAGAATGAGCATTATATAAAGCACATATAATAATTCAGGCTACTCTTTGAAGTATTGCAAGGATGTGTGTAGTCCATGAATGAAACTTCTGAAACGAACACAGAGAATTTTAAGGTGTGAGAGACTGGCTGTATCTTAAAAAAAAACCAAAACAATACCTGAATATTTTTACAAGAATGAAAGAATGGAAACTTCTAGATAAATTTAATCATCCTCAGAAACTGAGGATTAACAATCCAATCAAAATAAATTACCAAATTTTTAAATGTAAAAAAAGTTTCTAATTAGAATTTTTAATTTCTAACGAACATTATTAAAGACACAGATTTTTCTTTCTCTTTGCTTTGTTTTATGAATTATTCTGCATTTAACTGTTTAAATGTGAAAGCTGATCTCAAATGGAAATACATACATATGTTTTATGTATACTTCAACACACACATATAAGTATACCGATAATTTAGCCTTTTTGAAACTAAATTTTCTTATTTTATTGTATAGTATTTCTGTAGGGAAAATCTGCTTAAGTTTTCAAGTCATAGCTCCTAGACAGCTGAGGAAATGAATATTAACTACCATGGAGAAAGAACAGTTTATTACTCTGAATATAAAATCAATTCTTCAGTAGAAGAGTGTTATCTTGTAATAAACATTTAAAGTAATGAAAAATGCAATTAAAAGGTTTTCTTCTTGAATAGTTTATGGTCAATGGGACTCTGAATTACATTTCTTTAGTATTAGGAAATCAAGATCTAATAGTCTTTATTTGAAATGAGTTTAAAAAAATGCATCATCTTGATCAATAACATTTATGATGCAAAAAGTTTGGTATAATATTCCAAGAAGGTAATGTTCTCTGTCACTGGGTGAATTTTAGCAAGAACCCTTGTGACATGGCTGTCTTTCTCTAAAGGCTGTCAGAAAATAACAGTTTCAGTGACCTTTGATGACATTTTTAATGCTGCTTTTTAGTACTTAATTTTTCCTGTAAGTTCTTAGTTGTCTATTCATGTACTATACGGGATGCATTTGTACCTATGGAACAGGACAATACTTTACACAAGTATGCATAGTTTGGTACCAAAGTACTGTGGTTATTACAGTTTAATTTCTAGAAAAGGACAGAAGCAATGCATAATTAAACAAATTATTCCTTTTTCAAGCCCTTAGTCCCCACTGTAATTCTCAGAGTAAAACAGAACCATGGGCCATCAGCCAAGACATAGATTTTTTTATGAGGCAAGGAACAGTGAGCTCCATTAGTTTCCTGTTAAACAAAAGTAATGAAGAGACATTTGGCTAAAATTCTGTAGCAGTGCATCTATTTTGTCTCTGATAGTGTTCTGGGTGTGTGGTCATCATCTTTGGAAATAAAACGCCATAGATTTATCTGGATACTTTTAACGTGTAGCTAATTAATAAAGTTAAAAGTAAGTTTAAAACCAGTTCTTTCTCAGAGGAATAGAGTAGTAAAAACAACCAAAAGCTGTAGTATTGATTGACAGGTTTCCAGGTTAATTTTATCAAAGATTTTAACTTCAAGAATGTGGCCTAAGTTATAAATGTTAAAATAGGAATAAATACAATTATCTTCAAGAGATTCTATATTCATATTCTATATTCTATATTCTATTCTCATGTTTATCTGGAGTTAGTCCTTGTGGTATATGTCCTTTACCACAAAAGTTATCCCTAAGATATCCCTGCAAATGCAGAAAGCAGGTTGATTGACCACTACACCTGTAAGTAATTGTGTATCTAAGTATACTAATAGTGTAGTTTACAAGGAGTAAACTTTTAGTAAGTTTGATAAGAATAAAATAAGAGGCTTTCAAGATACCTAAATATTTTTAGCCATCCAAAATTATTTACAAGACACAAAAGTCACTCATCAGTATAACAGCTCTGAAGCAGAGATGCAGAAGTAGCCCACTATTATATATATGGTAATCTTATTCTGTTTGAGGGATAATATACACAGCAAGGTGGCAAGAAGCTCTTTTCCCTCTCCTAAAATGCAGAACAAAATCCTTTTTGGACCATGTCTTTTCTTGATTTTACCTCAGATTCAGTACAATCACATACATTTAAACAATTTCAACTATGCTTGTAAAAGCATGCAAATCTGCAACTGAAAAATATGCCAGGCACTGTGTGTGCCTGAACTGCTATAATAAAAACTAAATTTTCTCCCTGAGGAAGCTCAGTTAATCCATTTGTGCATATAAATATGGTGGATTTGAGTTATATTTCCATGTGCCAATGTTTGGAGACTTTGTCTGTTACCACTTTTGAGATGGTAATGAGAAAATAAGCATTTCCCTATGCTTTTACTGTTTGATGTTGGGAGAGAAATGGACGGGATTATATAGACTTCCTTAAAAATTAAATCTTTACTTTTCCTTGGCTCTACTTTCTCTGGCTTAGCATATTGGGATTTTTATGACCATTTGCTCTTCTTTGCCCTACAAAGCTCAGTGCCAGTTAGATCTGATAAAGTATAATTTGTTTAAATTGAGTTTGCATACAGTGTAGGATGCTGCTTGTTTAAAAAATAAAAAAGAGAAAGAAGGTTTATTTTTTTTAAATATTTTGGTCTGTTTGAACTCTATTGCTATTTATACTGAGAAACAAGACTTCCAGTTTTCAGGATTTTATTTTGTTTCATATACTTATATTTGCACGTATTATAAATGTTATATTTATATTTTACAAAATATATTTTATACACACACAGACATATACGAGCAATATAATATTAATAGACTAAGCAATGACACTTTATAAGACTGTGATATTTTTTGTTTAAGGCTTGGGATTTTTCTGAAGTGTTTTATTTCTGAAGTTAAAATTTGCTTTTCAAGATAAAGTGCTTGAATTCCTGTTTTGAAGTGTCCAGTAATTGAAAATAATTGCTTCTGGACTTCTCTTTGGGAGCAGACTACTTTTGGCTAATACATTAGTAAACTTAAAGCCCGGCCTTAAATCCATAATTCATTTCCAGGCAGAGACACCTGGGCTAATCTCACTGGGGGCTAAAGAAGCCTGAGGAACACTGGGTGCATTTGGCTGATTCATCTATCCAACTTAGCTCAGTCTGAGTTTGAGCTAATATTAAAGAGCTGGAGAAAATGTGCTTGAAGGAAAAACAGACTTTTAAAAATCAAATAGATCTGGGAAAATTGCCCTATGTTGTCTTTCTTTCACAGGCTCATCTAGTAGCAGCTTTTGAAAAAAGCTTGGGAAATATGACAGGCCGATTGCAAAGTCTAACAATGACAGCTGAACAAAAGGTAGGTTGGTCAAAGAGGATTCTTTACGGTAGAAAATATTCAGAAAATTATGTTAGAGTTTTGTTTAAAGAACACTGAAAGGAAAAAGGGACATCTGTGACAATAAGACAGATTTTTCTCTAATGGTTGCTGCAATCAGTTTTTCTCTAATGGTTGCTGCGATCAATGTCCAGCAGCATGTGGAAAAAACTATGCAGTATCAGGTTCACACAGATCTTATCATAAAACAGTTGGACACTAAAATCTTTCATTTCCAGAATTCAATGAAAACATGCATGACTTCAGGTTTACTCCATACTGAAGGATCCTGTAACAAAAATTTATCATAAGCTGCTGCAGTGCTTCATTCTGGCCTCCCAGCACCACCAGAACAATAGAATTTCAGGAAACAAAGAAGTTTAAGTGGAGAAAAATAGGTTAATTGAGAAAGTTAATGAAGGTTAGGCATCCTATCCAGAGGTAAACAGTTTGGGTTTTCACTTTTTCACTGTGCTATTTATCTAATGGGGGAAAAAAATTCTCTAAACCTGATACGAAGAAATTTAATGTGAGTCCTTTTACCAAGCTCAGGATTAAGAGGCTGCTTAGCTCCTTCCAGGATTGAACTTCTGCAACTTTCTACCCTTATGAATTTTCAACAATGTCCTATTAATGGAAAGGCCTCCTTGACCCAAACTGTGAAAAAATATGATTATCTGTGAGCTACTAGTCACCACTGGAGTCTGTAACTGTCTACAGAAATAACTTTTCAGAGTCTGGTTGAGCACCAGCAGATGAAATGTCGCAAGACTCATTGTGAACTGGATAGAAAATATTTGTATTGTTTGCTTTTGTTTCATCTTGGCGGGTAGGGGGGGAGAAAAAGAACACAGTCACAACGGAATATTCTTAAAGCCAAAACTTTTAACTATTTAACAAAGTATAAATCCATCAGGTTTTCTTTCCAGAAGGAGTTAAGCAGTGACATTGAAACAGATCATCTCCAAGTTTCTTTCCCTAAAGACTTAAAACTTATTCTTTTCCTTCTGTTCTTTTCTCTATTGTTGAGTTTAAATTCCTTTAACCCTAATTATATAGGAAGGAGACTGGAAGGGCAGGGAATAATAAATAAAATATTGCTTATAAAAGCAATAATAAAATATATTTTCTAATAAAAATCAGCTGTGCATTCTGATACAGAACTTCCTGCACTCAAGTGGAGTAATTTTACTTCAACTTGCAGGACAATTTCTATTAAACAGGGGCTTTTTAACTAAATTAGTATTTAACAAATTAAATCTTTTGAATTCATCCATTAAACAGTAGCCTCTCATATTAAAGGATGTACTTCAAATGGTTTCATTGTCTTTTGCAATAAAGTCATTGAGCTTTTTTTAATTATATATTTTATAGTCAATTGAGACCCTTTTTAGATTACTCCTAATGAAAAATGTTTCCTTCTTAAAAATAGCATGATTGCTTTATATAGAGTAAATGAAAAAGAATATGTTAGTTAACTTCAATATCTTTGGAGAGAAAGTATGCATTCTTTTTATTGTTGCCCTTTTGTTAACCCAAGCAATCCCATGATCTTTAATTTGAACACTCTTCCCTTGCAATTTTTTCTTTTAGCTTAGACAAACATTGTTCTTTTGCCATTATTTTGATCTCTCTTTGCTCTTCCCACAGGAATCTGAGCTTATAGAGCTAAGGGAAACCATTGAAATGCTGAAAGCCCAGAATTCTGCTGCACAAGCTGCTATTCAAGGAGCCTTGAATGGCCCCGATCATACCCACAAAGGTATGGGCTTGTCTTTATCAAAATAAATGCAGAAGTTCTCCCCAGGGGAAAAAGAAAGCTAAGTCACTACTTTTCTGTTGTTTGGGAACTCTGTTGTAAGGCAAAGCACATTCTGAAGTGAGTGGTAGGCATACTTGTGGTATTTCCAGAGCTGGAAACCTTGCCCAAGTTTCCTGTCTGCCAAACTTCCTGGAGCTTTATCTTCTTAGAGCTGGGTGGCCAGGAATTGATCGAGAGTTAACCGCGTTCCTGCAACTGACTAATGAAGTACACCCAAGACACAAGTGAGGTCCTATGGTATAGCATGGTTAGAGCTTGGGAATCCAGTCAAAGTTGTAGCTTTGTAAATTGGTCTTCTAGTTGGTAAGAGACAGACTGACAACAGCTCAGCTCCTTCATGAAGTGCTAAATCAGTGCAGGAAAGCAGGTTTTAAACTCCAGATGTCAATGTAATTTGTCATTACAGTTAGGCCGATATTGCGTGATAAATATGTACTTCAAAAGTGCCTGCTGATAAGCAGCAGCAAAGGAATTACTTGAAAAAAAAAAAATAATGGTATTCGTTTTTGAGAGTGTTATTGATCTTCCATTAGAGAGGTCATTATTTAGGTGTTTGCCTTAAGGTCATTTCACTGCATGACTTGAGTGTAGCAAAGCAAATTTCTAGGAAGTAGAAAATAATCTAAAAAGTAATTTCTCTTGGTATTAGTGGGCATGTTCTGCAAGAATAATTTCCAGTGATTAAGATATAGTTATCAGAGATTTCTAAAAAATTGAAACTCAGAAGCCGCACCAACCATTTTTAATATTCTCTGCTTCCTGGTTATTTTGTTTCATTCATTTTTAATGAACTCCTGCCTGTTTCTTTCCATCAGGGTATATTAGAAGGTAGCATCTGAACACTGATTAGGGCTGCTACAAGTTGAGTAGTGCCTACACTCCTCAGAACTACAGTACATGTGGCACTGAAATGTCAAGTAATCCATGTGCTCAGTTCTGAGGATACGCATGCATAGATTGCTGTGAAGGGTCATTGCCTTCAGGGCAAGAACAGCCTAGTTTGGAGAAGCCCCTAAGTATTGGACTAATTGTATGCATCCCCCTCCGTCCCTATATGGTTTCTCACAGGCTTCAATAGCTTGAATCTGAGCCACTGCTAGCATCAATGCCATTTATGTTCATTTAGACTGCCTTTGAGGAGGCAGATGATACATAAATATGAATTAATATTATTATTATTATCTTGAAACAGAGTTCACAGTAACTTCTTTTCTTTAGATTTACGTATAAGGCGACAACATTCTTCAGAGAGTGTTTCCAGTATCAACAGCGCTACAAGTCATTCCAGTATTGGCAGTGGTAATGATGCTGATTCCAAAAAAAAGAAAAAGAAAAACTGGGTGAGTACTCAGCAGGTTTAAGCCTCTCTTTTAGCTATTATGTCATTTACTAGTGTCTGAGTAACATAATGGTTCATTTCATCTACAATGTTCTTGTGGGGCCAGATGGATATGAAGAAATGCATGTGTATCCGTACTGTGACACTACCAGCAAACTAAAAAGTTTTGAATATCAGCAAGGTTTAATTTGCATAAGTCAGAGTAATTAAAACAAAAGTACAAGCAACAATTACAACAACAAGAAAACAACAACAACATCATAAATTTAAAATAGCTATTGTGACCAAAAACCACCTCTGGGCCACATTGAAACCCTGTTTGATTTTTCTTCACTTGGAGTTTGGTTCAAAAGCTTGACTCAAATATATTACCCAGCTATGGAGGGAGTTGAAATCAGTTAAGAATTCTCACTTAAAAATACTACAGTGTTTAAAGAAATTAAGATGTTGCTCAGCTGGAACCTACAAATACCACATACTGCTAAAGATTTAATTAAATACTTTCAGTAAAGAATCAGAAAATATGTTTTTATTGTTTTAGAAATATTATCTGCATAAACATTTGTTTTAAAATACTGATGAGCCTTCATTCCCTTGATTTGTAATTCCACACTCTTTCATGTTTCTGCAAGGTGAACTCTAGAGGAAGTGAGGTGAATATAAACCATGGAAAAGTTGGCATGCATCTATAAAAAACCCTATCTTGGCATGATTGCTATTTATTTTGGCAGTAGGCTTTTATACCTTCTAAAACCAGATTATCCTGTATGTCTTCTCAGTTTGTCTTTATTCATTTTAATCTCAAAGTTTAGGCTATAGAAAGGGGGAGTGTAGCCAAAATCCATTTCTTTCTCCTCAGACATCATGAGCTGGAAAGGACTTAAATATTGTTTCTCATTAAGATCAGTGGTCACACTCCCCACTCTCAAATTTTACTATGAGAATAATGTGTTTGAAGTCCTCATTTTTTCATAGAGGAACCAGTTGGTTGTTGTGTTCTCTACAGTTTTGATCAGAACAACTCTCTGAAAATAAAAATAAAACCTGTATTTCTCCTAAGATGAGTAAGTTCTGTATTTAGAGAAAGTTATGAACAAATGACATAGTCAATTTTAACTGCAGACAAAACTGTTGTCATCTTGGCTTCTGAAATAAATGGCTCTTTGGCTATTCTGTCCCTTTTCAATACTGGATACAAGCTTCTAGAGGTAAAAGGCAATGCTTGTACGTTCAGAGATCTTACCACTCTATAGGAATCTGCAACAAACAGTGTATACCTTTCAGCTAACATTCTTCTCAATAGTACAACAAGGCAAACCTCTTGTTCCCACTTAGATCCTCTTGATTGTGATCCAAATCATAGCATTTGCATAGTTTGAGCATTCAAAGTTTTAATGGGGAAAATAAATTGGAAAACACTGTAAATTGGACTTATCTTCTGATTTCAGCATTTAGTTGAGCCTGTACCTAGGTGCAAAGTGGTTATTTAAAGCCACCCCTTGAAGGGAATGCCATGGGAATGGGATTCCACTGGGGCTTAATGGCTTTAAATGAGCACCCCTCCCCAATAGCTGTACCACTCGGTCCTGCACTTTCTCCATAGCATTACCTCTGCACTGCGCTGGATTAATAAAGTCAAAACAAAGCACTGTATCATGTTTTTAGAGATACTGTGTTGCATATGTTAATACCTTGCTTTTGCATACTGACCTCAGGCAGTGGCTAGGATGGCATCTGCAAACTAACTCTTCAAAACATGAGCTGCACACAAAGTGCTGTGATGAGGAAAATAACCTTGCTCTGTATTTGTTTTCCAGCTAAGAAGCTCTTTCAAACAGGCCTTTGGAAAGAAAAAGTCCACCAAACCTCCTTCCTCACATTCAGACATAGAAGAGCTGACAGATTCCTCCCTCCCTTCCTCACCTAAATTGCCCCACAGCTCAGGAGAGTGTGCAACAACATCGATGAAACCATCACAGTCAGCATCTGCGTAAGTGTCTCTCTTGGCAAATGGGGTGGGCTGGGAAGCAGACCTCCTCCAGCATGGCCATTTGCAGTTCAGAAACCATTGGCAACAGCTGAGGTCTTCTAATCCTGACCTCCATCCATTTGCCAGATTTCTCGTGAGCTTCACCATTTGCACACTGGTTCTGCAGCAGGTCTTTATTCAGTCATAATCTTTCATCCTTTCACAGATTTTACCCAAAATCACCTACCTATACAAACTTCCAAAAGCCTGTGTTGTGCTCTCCCTGCACCATTAGCAACTTTATAGTATCCACTTAGCAAAGGCCAAATGCTAATGTTTCCTTGTTACCTTTTTTCATGACATTCTAAAAATAAAAAAAATCTTAAATATATGTATTTTTGAATTTTTACAGTATTTCTCATTTTTTTACAGTATTTCTCCTGTTATTACTTTATCTACTTTGTAGCTACTGGTGTATATAAATTTTAATCTGTTTCCCCTCTTATCAGCTTGCATTTTTTTTTTGTGGGATTTTATTTTTATATTTTATTCAAGTCACCACCCTGGAGGTTTCAGGTCTGAGAACAAGTCAACAGTCAACAGCTGTCTGATTTCTTCAGTATTTTTTGAATATCTGATATGTTCTTATGGAGTTTCTGGCTCTTTCTTACTCATATTCTTCTGCTTTTTTTTTTCACTCTGCTAAACTCATAACTCTTTCTGATATGGGGAAATCAACCTCTTTGAACCAAAAAATGTCTACTACTGATGTTAGCTTTACTTTCCTCCTCCTAATTGAAAATAATCAGGTCATAATTACTTTTTCTTAAGGCACTCAAGGAATTCTAGTATCATGACTGTTTAATTAGATAGTAAATGGAATATACATGGAAATAAAATTTCATTTCTTATTTACTTAGCATAGGAAGGTATGGTCACATCACAGAAAGAGCTGTACCATAATATTCAGGAAAAAAAATCCTAGTGTATGTCTTTCTTAATCTTTAATCACATTTAAAACATTTGTGCATGTTTTCAATGATATTCATTATTTTTCTTCCTCTATTTGACATGTATTTTATTTGCCATGAACTTCATCTTCCCTTTGCTTACGATTTCTTCGTATATTTTCTTGATGGAATCTCGCATTCTAAACCATTCCCTTTACTTTCTTCCAATTGCATCTGTCTAATACATGTGTGTGCAGGTCATCTCTAGTCTGGGCATCAAAGAAAAGGCAAAACGGCCGCGTGGTCTACAAGCATAGATCCCGGTAAAACTGAGTGTGGGGCATGGACTTGTGTACCCAACTGCTGACCTGAAGAGTGCTGCATCTTCTTTCCCAAAATGCATTGGCATGCATTCTGGCAATTAAATGCTGACCTTTGTTTCTTTTTTTTTGTTTGCTTTTAAAATATTAGCAATAATAATCACAATAATAATACTTATTTTCATAAAGTAGTTTTCATATTGAAATTTTTCTGAAAATATTAACTGTTTATAGTCGCAGTAATAAAGAACAAATAACATTTGCTGAATTGACTGGAAATACTGCTTAGTGTAACAATAAAGCCAAAGTTCAGTTTTCTACTGATGGTTCTGATGATGATACAAAGAGGCAAAACAGTCTGACAAGAGAGCTGGACAGTTGTGGGTCCCTGAGCCAGTCATGTTTCAATTTTTTCTTACACTATAATGGTTTTTTCCCTTAAAATAAATGGTTATGAAAAGTAACCACATGGTAATCCAGTCTTCAAGGGAAGAAAACAAAATCAACCCACATGATTTCATATATCATACATTACAAAATCACAGGCTATAGGCAAAACATCAGCCATCACAAATCAAAACCATTACAGATCAAAATCTTCTAGACTATTCAATGACTGTCCCTTTGTGTAATATTCATATCAGAGAAAAATATTGATGCCTAACAAATAATACATATCAGCAGTACAGTTTAATCAGCACACACACAGCAGATCTGACTACTGTTGCATAGAGAAATCATAAACTTTTCACCAAAGAAATTATGTGAGTATAAAATCCAATTAAAACCAATGGGTGCTAGACACTCAAAAGATACCTGAAAAGTAGTTAAGAATTTGTTTTTCACCATAGTGAGCTAAACTAAAAAGCCATAAAGCAATCTGATCACTTCTTTTGCAGGGGGCTTTTTTTTTCCTTTTTTAATTTGCAGTTTGATCGTTTTCATGTTTCTTTGATAAGTTTCTTTCTTCACTCATAGGTTTCACCAGCAGCAAGCGTTTTTCTGTTCTTTGATATTTAATAATGACACTGCTTTGGGGAGAGAACATTCCTTTAATCTCCTGCCTGTTTCCTGCTCCTCTTTAGGATCTGTGAGTGCACAGAGGCAGAGGCTGAAATTATTCTTCAGCTAAAAAGCGAGCTGAGGGAGAAGGAGCTCAAATTAACAGATATCCGTCTGGAAGCCCTCAGCTCTGCACACCACCTGGATCAGATCCGGGAAGCCATGAACCGCATGCAGGTCAGTGCAGCAGCTTAAGTGATGACAGAGATGCACTCCAAAGGTATGACTGGTGTGTTTCCTTCCCCAGGACTTTGTTTCAGCCACCAAAAAACTGTCAATACAAAGTAAATTGCTGGGTTGACAGTACTTCTGAAGGATGGGTATGATAAGTGTTCACCTTACAATAAAGACATTCTTAGCGTGTATGTTAATAGCTAAAATGTGTTTAAAAGATATGGAAGAAGACATAATCCGTGCCCAAAGGATATTTATTATCTCAAGCCTATAACTGGGGTTAGCAACATGACAGAGAAGCAGATCAAAAAGTGATTTCTACAGCGTTTTAAATCCTTGAGCCATGGAGGGGGCCAGGATGTTCTGTGCATACTGTTTCATCATTTCTGATTCCTAATTCAGTCATGGCTTGCCAAAGCAAAGAATGTAAAATTGAACTAATTACTGTATCCAGCATCATAAAATTTTGCTATATTGTTTTGTTACACTGCCCCAATTCCTCTGTGAACACTTTTTTTTTTGTTAGAAGATTTTTCCTTTCAGGAGGCTGAAAGGATGCAAAAAGAATGGCAATGTTCTTCAGTGGAGCACAGAGCTTTACGGGACTCAGTTCTGTTGCTTACATTCAAATGCCCACTGCCATGGTGGGTGCCCAAAAGTATCTCTAATATCCACACATTGTGACATAAATCCTTCAGTGTAACTGGGCTCTTCTGGAATGGCAGCTAAGATATCTACGTAATGCCTGAAGGCACTGTAAATCTGTATTTGGGGAACAGAATCAAGGCCATGGGCTGGGCATTCAGGTTGAGACAGATTTGGTTACATTTAAAAGTCTGGGAATGAGCTACTTGATAAACTTCCGTTGTAGTCAGTCGAGTTTTAGTCCTGTAGTAGTGAGATAGCTAAAGAGCTATCCTAAAATTACCCCAAGATAGGTACAGAGGGTGAAATGGAGTTCCTTGAGCATAGGTACTTCTTACCATTTGAACCAGCCCCAAGTATTTGCATCTGCAGAGGACATGAAAGTTTAGCATTCTTCCATGGAAGACCATATTTGTCATGCCACTGGAAGCCCACATTTGCACAGCTGAATCCAGCCCAGTGCCTTGCCAGCTGAATTGCTCTGTGTTGGGTGCTTAGGTCAGGTGCACTGTAAGGCATTTGTGTGTAGATGCCTATAGCACCTGATTTCATAACTACAGAAATGGTGTGCTTGATGTCTTTTCTAGACCTCTTTGTTTACACAGTGCCTGTGTCAGTTCCAACCAGATTTTTAAACATCTTTGGTACCTACCTGCCATCCTCCCAGGTGCTCACGACTCCAGGTGCCAACATTAGTGTGAGATATTTGGCTGAACTTCAATTAGAGGGAAAACTTATCAAGAACTGATCCATAAATGTGGTTTCATTTGTCCTGACATAAGTAAGGCGTTGATCTCAAGGAACTGAAAGGTTTTAAGGAACTGTGAGGAAAAGAATGTGAAAAGGAGAAAAGGATGTGAAGGCTTATCATCTGATGACAGTCTCATACTGGGATATGAGTGCCTGAGGCAGGTGAACTCTCCAGAGGGAGGAGTCTGCTGTGGGCACAGTTCTCCAAAGTCTGAACTTCCTCAAATCTGAGCAGAGGCAACTAGTTGAGAAGCTGTTATTGGTAATCACCATTTCTGAAGTTCACCCAAAAGAACAGGCAGCCGCCTTGCATTTGCTAAAATTTGATATTTTAGAGGATTGATGAGGATTGGTAAGGGGAAAAAATAGGACTGGTGGAAGTGACACATGAATTTTTTTAGATTCAAAGCACTTTAAAAACCTAAAGCTCAAGTGAATGGAAGACTGCTAAGAGCTATGTAACTAATAGCATAAATTTCAGAGTGGCTCCTGATTTGAACCCTAGACTAAACTGATACACCCATCTATTACTATCTGTTACTATTGTGCTGGTTTGTCCCTTCCCTTTCACTGTCTTCTCACCTGTGTGTATGTGATCTAATCTTTTTGTAGCTGAAGCAGGGGTTTTTTATGATGCTATCCATCCCTTATGTTTTTACTTGTATAATATAGCTGTTCATCCTCCATCAAAAAGTGAGACTTTTAGCAGGGTGATGTGAATGTAGAAATAAATTTGATGTGCAGAACCATCTGCAAGAATAAGCAGTTGCTTTGTAATGCACTTTGTGAAGCAACTGGAAGCTAGATTTAGATGGTACCAGACTGTTCTCAGGCTAAGTTTTCATTTTATTATTGTACATTCAATTATCACTTGGCAGCACAGAGGATTTAGCTAAAAAATTCCAGTTGTTCTGATTCATCTGTCACTGTCTGTTTTCATCAGAGAGAGTTTGCTCAGTGCTATGTTAACAATCCCATGTTTGAATGATCAAAAAGTCTTATTTGATAGCAAGACGGGTTATGAAACTGTTAAACTATCAATTTCTAATTTTTCATTTTTAACTTAATTTCTCTGTGAAGTTACTGTTTAAATTTTATATTCAATGGCAGTAATAATTTTCTGTGTCTTTAGAAACATTGACATATCCAGTAACTTTCTTAACTAACTGTTACCTTAGGAATTTGACAATAGAAAGTAGCTGAAAAAAAATGGGGATAGCTGAGGAAATTATGACCACACTCACGTTATGGTCAACTGTACAATAAGCACAAAAGCTTGAAGCTGATATTGTTTAGGATCTAAAAATAAGGTTATTGGGGCCTTTCCCTTCATTTAACAAGTAAAGGCAATCCAGTTTTCCTTGTGTTATATCTCTGTTGTGAAAGTGGTAAACTGAGTCAGGGGAACAGCATCACCAGACTAGCCAGCAATGGTGGTTTTCCAAAAGAATAACCTCCTGTGCTTTGGTGTTGATTTCTTTTGTCTACAGAATGAAATTGAGATACTGAAAGCTGAGAATGATCGCTTGAAGGCAGAGACTGGAAATAGCGGAAAGCCTGCCCGGCCATCATCAGAGTCCTCAAGCAGCACATCATCTTCTTCATCACGGCAGTCACTGGGACTTTCTCTGAACAATTTAAACATCACAGAATCTGTTACATCAGGTAAACATACTTTGGACACATGCACACCTCAGCAGTTGGTACGATTTTTTCAGCCCCTTAATGGGCCGCATAGGAGAAGCATGACTGGAAATTAAAACACCTCATATCATTCAGGTTAACATCAGATATACATTCAGTAACAGAGAAAAGGAGGAATGCGGGTGGTCATGTCTGAAATGTAGCTTTTAGAAGCACCTGAACAGCAGTAACAGAGTGTTCATTATGTTTGCTTTGTTCCTAGCTATGACACTCTCTGCCTATGAAGTTTACAATACTCTTCGGTCATCCAATTTACAATTTCTTTGAAAAGAAATATCTGTTGAAGTACACATGGCAACTGTGTTGATATATTCTCTTGCCTATATGGGATAAATATGAGTATAGTATGTGAAACTTTCTTCTTTTTGTTTACAAGTCTTTGATCATTCAGTTAGCTCCCTTAACTTGACTTCATGTTTGCAGCTAAGGCAAATATGGGTCTCAGATAGCTTTATCCCTTACATTTTTTTAATTTGGTACAGCTAGTTAGCCTATATTGGACCAAATCACCATTTATCACAGGAGCCAAACCCCTCCTGATCTATGAGGCACTCATTGTCTTCTGTGAATGAAGGAAATCAAACAGAAGTTGGGTCCACATCCTGAACATCAACATTTGATTATTTTCCATGCCATGGAGTTTATGATAATAAGCCTTCTACATTTGTTTTGATAATGTAGTCAAGAAACAGAAGTGCTGTCTCTAACATTAGAACCAGGAGTGAAGCAGGAGCAAAGCAGCACTCATTAGCATAGACGCCACAGAAATTATAATGCAGTCTCTGGAAGTAATAAAAATGTGGCTAATAATTGTGGAAAGAGTCTAGGCAAGAATACAGCTGGGAATATGCCAAACTGACTGTACAATTTGGCAGTTAGTCATATTATCTTGCCAGTCATTGATTGCATGGATATTTGAACATTTTTTCTGGTTAATATCAGATTTTGTATGAAAATTGGTACATTTTTTATTTATATTACAACTCTGAAGGGTTTAACTTTTAGCATGGAGGACCCTGAACTAGGCCTCAACATGCAATGAGCTGTTGCAAGCAGGGAGAAAAAGTTTAACTGCTCACAGATCCACACATATTAAAAACAAACAAATAAAAACAAAACAAAAAAAAAGTTGGTTTCTTTTTTTTGCAATATGGTGGTTATAGAATGTCTCTCATGAGTAGCAGCCTTTCATTAGCACTTTTTTGCTTGGCACTAACTCTGTCTTGATACAGGAATAAACATGTAGGAAGAAAGGTCTGAAGAAAAGGAGGGGGAACCAGATGAGAATACAATGGGTGAGGAGGAATGGGTGAAAGAAAAGGGAAGGTAAAAGATAAGATAAAAGAATGAAAATAAAGAAAATTATGGGGAAGTGTTCAGCAAAAGAATAGAAATAATAAAAGCTGGAAGAAAAAAAGAGGAAGGGGAAGAGAAAAACAGGGGAAGGAAAGAACAGGATGACTGGGAGAAGTGGTTGGATTTGATAATCTTAAGGGTGTTTCCAGCCTAAATGATTCCATAATTTCATGAACTTTCATAAACATGATATAATTTTCTGTGTTATTGTTCTAAATGTTTTTCTCACATGAAAAGTAATTACTTTTCATTACAAGAAATTTAAGATATAAAATTGCCTAATGAGGAGTGGAGAATTTCATTTGATTATGAATCTAGAATTTTTGATCATTGAGATGATCATTTTGTTACCATGCCAGAGAACTTGGAAGGGTGAATGCTTCCCACCAAATCTTGTGGGATTTCTGAGACAGCTGGAATACCACTGAACACAACTCCCTGAGATATGGGGAGGTTACTCATAATGAGGATGAGGATTAAGCTGAGAGAATTGAGTGGTTTGGCTCTTCATATTATAAAAATACCATTGCACTTTCTGGGAGTAATATCTCCAACCAACCAGGTCATCTGGAAGTGACCAAGCTGTCCACTGTCACTTCCTTAAAGGTATGATGACACCCTCCAGATCAGGGTGAGTGGCAGCCTGGGAAGGGGTATGGTGGTCAGAGACACCCCTATTTCAGTCAGTCACTGCAGTGAAAGGAGCAAACAAGACCAGTACAAGACTGGCCCAGAGTGCCAGAGCTCTGACAAGAATTGAACTCAAGTAATCATAGCATGCCTAAATAGAAGGCTTTGCAGGGGGAAATTAAAACAGTTAGTACCAGCGTGAAATTAGAGGCCCTTGGGCATCTTCTCAGCCCCTTGTATCAGTGAAAGAGAGAGCTCTTAGAAAGTGGAATTTGTTCTTTTGCTACAGAGTGGTTCCTCATTCCTAAAGACTTAAAGAAGAATGAATTTAAAAGGCTACATAAGGGTCATTTAGAGATTGAAAAATTTCACAGGGGGATCATATCATCATTTGCCCTCAGACAAACTATGACAATGACGTTATCAAAGCTCTTAGGTTTGCTCAAAGGTTTGTCAAATATGCCAAAACACAAGTGAAGTGAAACATTCAGTGGTGACAGAACAGACAGAAAATCTTACTGCCTGGAACAAAGCAAGCATAGATTTATTAAAACCCACCCAAAAAAAAAGCTTCTTTGTTCAATGAATTAAAAAAAAACAAAAACAAAAAGCAAACCAAAAAAAACCAAAAGAAAACCCCAAACCAATAGCAGAATCTGCATTCTAGATCTGGATGTAAGTTATCAAACTTCTAACATGAAAACTTATTTTTAATACATTAATTGAAATTATATTCATAAACCTTCTTTGATTTTCCTTTGAACAAGTGACTGAATCTTACTGGGACCTCATTTAGTGTGGATGAAATCTGACCTTGTGCAGACTTTGTCATGAAGTCGATGTTTTTCACACTAATAATGAACAGGGCTTAGGTTAGTGGATTACTGTGCTGGCCTTTGAAGAAAATGCAAATCCATAATCTCATCTAATTTTATAGTTAGCTTAAATGTCTAACAGTAAAATCTCAGAGAGAACTTCTAGAAGAAAGCAGCAGTTTTATCACTTGCAATAAAGCTGTAGGCCCAGCCTTTAACAGAAATACATCTGCTTTCTCATTTTAGGAGTTAATGAAGTGGTGGAAACAGAGGTGTAGAGCAGATCAAAATCACTCTTCACCTCCAAGAAAAATGAAGCCTTTCCTTAGAGGAATGGCTGAAAATAGAGTCACGTGTTCTGGAGAATCCAGTGGTTTTCTAGTAGGGGTGGAAAGGACTCTATCCATGGCATATGTACAGAAGGCAAAGGATTCATCTGGAAAGTGAAATTAAATGCTATTTAGCTTAACAGCAAAAATATCAGTGCAAGGATTTCTTGTTTTCTCTTTGTACAACATTCTAAAGGGCACAAATGAGTGCCCAAAGACATACATTTAATTTAGTTTTTAAACAACATTACTTTGTGACCATATTGTAATTTTGAAAAAGTTCCAAGAGGGAAAGCAAAGGCAAGACTATAATGCAAGATTTTATTTATTTGTGGATTCTTTATCCCTTTCTGCATGATTAAAACTCCTAATATTCCTACAAAAATTGACAACTTGTAACTTTTTTTTTACCTCCAACTGAAATGGTGAATCAGGAATAAGTACAGATTACAACAATTGCAAGTTGTTATCATGACAGCCTTTCTTTTTAAACAAATTTTTAACTTTTAAATCCTTTGAACAAATATTGAACTGATGATGTGAACATAATTGATGTGATTTTTCAGACTGATCACTTCACTTCTTTTAATGTAGATATTTTGTTGGATGATGTCACTGATGGAGCACTCCACAAAGAAGGTCATAGTGTCAAAATTTTAGTCACCATAAACAAAGGCTACAGTCGAGCCAAGGTAAGTGCATTACCCAGAACAGAACTATAGCTCAAGCAAATGCTGGCATATAGTAGGTCAATTTTTTTTCAGTATTTTAAGCCAGGAACTGAAGGGAAGTGTCCCATAGATTGCAGCTTTCTTTTGTCATCCATGCTCAATACAGTCAGGCACACTCCACAGACTAATGCCGTATGGCCTCTTTCTGCCTTGTGGTGGCTTAGATACTACTAGTTCTTAGTTTAATTAGTAGTAGGATGTCCTGGGACTTGCTGTCACTAAGTCATTATAAATTAGATCTATGCATTGGTCTCCTTAGGGTGCAACTGTGAATTTGCTGCTGAAAAGTTGTATCATCATGTTCTCATGTTCTGTGTTGTAAAAAATGACAAATACAGTGCAACCTTTACTTTTAGTTATCTCTTTAAAAACACAGATGCAATCAAAGAGCAGAAGAAGATTCTGTATTCCCTTTATAAAGATTCTGTATTCCCTTCTTTATAAAGATGTATCAAAGTAATACAATCAGTATCTACTTCTGGCACAGAGATTATTACCAAAGTTGTAACCTCTCATTCTAAATAATATTCTTATTCTTCCTTAGGAAGACTATGAATCTTCACAGAAAACTAATTAGCACCATTTTTAGTCCAATTTCCAAAAATCTCTCTTTGCAGGATCAAAAGCCACATGCATACCTGATAGGATCAATTGGAGTCAGTGGAAAAACAAAATGGGATGTTTTAGATGGTGTAATCAGACGCCTCTTTAAGGTAAGACACTGAAAAATTGGCTTAAGTATTATTACAATTTTCTTTTTCACTTTAGAAAATTTCTGTATTCTTTGAGTTGTCTTGCCAAGTTTCTGTTTTGGTTTGAGGGTTTTTTGATATATAGCTAACACCAACTACTATTAAGCTTTATTCTCAATGTCGCAGTTCTTTTTTCTATGTCTGCAGGCAGTTTTCCAAATAGTTTTCATTCAATAAATATTTTTATGACTTATGTTTTCATGTAATTTCAGGAGTATATTTTTCGAGTGGATCCAACTACTAGCCTGGGTTTAAGCTCTGACTGCATTGCTAGCTATTGTATAGGGGATGTAACTAGAGCCCATAGCCTAGAAGTGCCTGAACTGCTGCCTTGTGGATATCTGGTTGGAGATAATAACGTCATCACTGTGAGCCTGAAAGGTAAAACCCGAAGAATACTTCTGCAGATACCACAGAGTTCTACGCTGCAGTTCCCTATCCTTTTATGTTTGTTTTTCTTACACCTGACCTTTCTGTATTGTCTCTAGTTTGAGGGCACATTTATCACAAACTGCCTGTAAGACATTGCATAATATCTATCAGAGCCTTTAGAGGGAAATCTAAGAATATCTGTCCTCCACTGCCTGATTGCCAAATCACAACAAAGTACAGATTTCTGAATAGTGGCAAAAATCCAACCCCAAAACAGAGATTAAAATGAGAAATACTAATGCTTTATTCAGTTCCACAGGAAAAATTGTATACATTTCAAGAGCTCTAGGGATTTTCTATTGGAGGGGAGAGGGGGCCTTCAGGAGAACTTTATTGATGTGACAACTGGTAACCCTTGTGGCTGTCATTTTGACCTTTTTTATGTCATCTTTGTCAGTAATGTCTGAAACATATGTCTTTGCCTCACTGAGCCTTCTCTTCACATTTACTTTGGTTGCATCTCTTCCACTCATCTCAACTCACCACTGCTGTTTAATTTTTTGTGGAAGTATACCAGTATTTCTACAGTAAAGAAGTGCTTAACAGGGGTTTAATTTAGAAGATTTGAATTAATAGCTATCTTACCTTGCTTTGGGCATAGCACTGATGCCATCAGGTGCTGGGCCAAATAACTACCTTAGCAAGGATAAGACAGGCCATTTTTCTTTTCTTGTATCCCCAGGAGTAGAAGAAAACAGTTTGGACAGTTTTGTATTTGACACATTAATTCCTAAGCCAATTACGCAACGGTACTTTAATTTACTGATGGAGCATCGCAGAATTATTCTGTCGGGACCCAGTGGCACAGGAAAGACCTATTTAGCTAACAGGCTGGCTGAATATATTATAACTAAATCTGGCAGAAAAAAAACTGAGGATGCAATTGCAACTTTTAACATAGATCACAAGTCAAGCAAGGTAAGTTACAGTTGAAAACATAATCTATTGCCCAGTTTGTAGAACAGATTCCATTAATGGGTGTACTCTTTTGCTTTTCAGTTAGCATTTCTTCCTACAATAATTTAATCCCAGTGATATACAGGGACCAGATCTTTCTGTTCTAAACAAACCATTGAAGCACTGTCAAGGAAGTCTCAATTTTTTCCCTCTTGGGGAAACCCACTTTAAGTATAGATGCAGAGTCCAACTCCCAAGTAAATTAAATTTAAGTGTCCGTAATTCCTTTATCAGAAGGTTTGCTATGTAGTAATACTAGTGTAAGTTGGTTTTTTTTATGATGATAGCATCAGCCTTTGTTAGCAAAGATTTCAAAGGGATGATTTGAAAATACTGTCTTGGACTCAGTTTCCTAATCAGCCCTGAGGAGATACAACCATCATGATTTCTGGTGTGCATCAGTCCGGAAGCTGACCATACTGAAATTGCCTCACACATCATGTCACATTCCCAGTGATTTACAAAGCTCAGATTATCAGGTTTCTAGCAGGGCTACTGTGCTAGCCACAGATAATACTATTCACCTGGCTGTCCTGAATTGAGTGTACTCCTAACTTGGTTCCTGTGGGGGAAAAAAATGAAAGGGTTTGCCCGGAGCGTTCTGATTTGCACAGGACATAATGAATGCTAACATAAGAAGGGAGAACATACAGATCCCAAAGGGGCAAAAGGACCATTCTGGCAAAAATAACTGCTTTTCACTGTCTTTATACAGAGGATTTGTGATGCCATTTACTTTGGCAGAGAATGTGTTTGTGTTCTATTGTTATACTATACACATCTGTAAAGAAAATTGTCCCACAAAAGAGCCTTTTGGATTTCTAGTAAATTGCTTGGTCTGTGTGTTTTGGTGTTTCACTGTTGCTTTTGGATTGGATTGGTTGGTTTTTTTCCCCTTTTTCTTTACTTCTATCAAAATTCATGTAGAATTTTTTGAGTTTGTAATAAAAATAAAAAAAGAAAAAGCAACATTGTCAATTACCAAGGGTGTTTGAATAATATAGATGGTTCTATTCCATGGAAGAAACCTATAATGTTCTCTGAGAGACACCTGATCATAAAAAGGCAAAGAAAAATCTTTCTTGAAATAAAAAAGGTGCATGTTTCCATTAAAGAAGAAAAGATTCAGCTATCCCTGATCCAGAAGATAAAATGGCAATAGGAACTTTGTCCATAATACTAAGCACTTCCAACCCTCACAAAATTAGATACCTCAAGAGATACAGCCATAGAACTTGACTAGCCCAAATTCTAAAGAGCAACTGTTGACAAAAATATTAAATGTTTGGATTGTAGAAAGCTGTCTTTTACTGCTGCACTAAACAGCAACCAGACAGCTGACAGGAAAAAAGAATTTACACACCAAATTTTTTATGAGGTGTGATAAAGCATCTCCAAGAAGGCAGGCAGATTTTCAGTGAGAGTGCTGAAAGGAGATATCTAAAGGAGTAGTTCAATACACCAAAATTGTGTGACGGGCTGGTGGGGTTTTGATATATAAATGTAGCACTCATAAGAATGAAGGTCCAAAAATTATCAGGAGCATCTCAGCCCATTGGAAATGGCATATTTTATTGCAATCTATATTCCTCTGGATATAAGATATTTTATCAGCAAATTTCTATGGAATGTCTCTCCCAAATCAGAATGCTTCAGTCATTGGCCTTGTGTTCAGCACCTTTGTTTTTTCCTAAACTCCATGAGGCTTTAATGTTGCCCTGTGCAAGCAGCATGTTTTCCTGCTTGTGCAGATCCAGCTGAGTGATCCACAATAGGAAAACTCTTTATCAGTCATTTTATCTTTCTGAATTTTTTTCCAGTGAAATTATATCTATGGTCTAATTGTTTAATCTTTTCTGGGCTTGGGACTTTTTTGGTGATTTTCTTTTTGGGTTTTTTTAATTAATTCTACTGAAGGATCTGCGACAATATCTAGCAAACTTAGCTGAGCAATGCAGTGCTGACAACAATGGTGCTGACCTCCCTGTCGTCATAATTCTTGATAACCTCCACCACATCAGTTCACTAAGTGACATCTTCAATGGTTTCCTCAACTGTAAATACAATAAATGGTAGGTAGTACCTTTTCTCTCTCCTTGCACACAGATTTTACAATTAAAACAGTAAAAGCTGCTTGTTATTTTGCAAAATAAAATGTCCCAGTGCAAACTTAGGCTCCCATAGGCCATCTGCAAGGCCGTTATGTGCTTCAGTAATTTTAACCCCTTTCAGCCAAGAAGGTAGCTGTCTCCTTCACTTCATTCACATGACTTCCATGCTTCTGAATGAGATGTAAATGAACCACAAAATTTAAGAATGTGCTTAAACACTTAACTGTTTTATAGTGTTATCCTTTGCACCCTGTCAGATCACACCAGCTCATTAGTACTGTAAGAACAGCTTACACGTTGTTATAGGGGAATTTGGGATAAACCATGCCATACAGAAGCAGCTGTGAATCTAGCAGATTTTCCCTTCCCACAGTTTTCCTGCAGCAGTGCAGAAGTATAAAGTTGGCTGACTGTCCTTTATTCTCAAGCAAGAGTAAAAATAATGTTTTCTAGAACTTTTACTGGCTCTTAACATTGGTTATTTCTGCTGTAAAAGTGATATCACAGGGACTTCCCTTCATAAAATCATTGCATACATCTTCCTCATGAGATTCACTGGCTTTTGAAATTAAAAAGCTAAGCATATTGCCAAATTATGAATTACATTAAGACAGGGTTGCTTTATTTATTTCTTCATTACAGATGGGCACTAGTAAACTACATATGTGCAAGAGGGAAATCATACACGAATAGACATTTTTTTAAAGGGTACCTCAGAAATATTTTAAATGTATGACTACAGTACACCCAGACTCTCTTGAAATTGGCCTAGTACAGATAGTAAGAAGGAATGTACTCTGAATATTTTAATGAATTCTCCCTCAAAAAAAATCCTACTGCTTTTATATTTCCAGTCCCTATATTATTGGAACCATGAACCAAGGAGTTTCTTCTTCACCAAATCTGGAGGTGCATCACAATTTCAGGTACATTCACTCTGTATTTACTGTGGCCATGTTTGCACAGCTCCCTGCTTCTGAGCCCAGTTCTTTGGCAAATATTGATCTTGTGTCTCATCACAGTAAAGCATTTCAGTTTCAGCATCTGTCCTCTATTGATGGGTCTCTGAATTGTGTTAGGGAATGGTAAAAGAAATAAGACACTGTCTGGCACTTCTAGCAAGTTGCTGAAGATGATTGCATTCCTACAATTCTTTTGTCTTCAGCAGTGTCTTGAATTCCTGCTGGAACCTGAAATGCCTGCATTGAAACAGTGAGCAGAAATGAGGTTCATTGGAGCAGTGCTATACTTGATGAATAATGAGACTCTATGACATTACTTTCATCTATATGTTTAAGAGGAAATAATGTATTTGCTATTCATTGCTGCTTGACATTTATCTCTTCTACCTAGGTGGGTGCTATGTGCTAATCACACAGAGCCTGTTAAAGGTTTCTTAGGAAGATATCTGAGAAGGAAACTGATTGAAACTGAAATAGAAAAGAGCATACGCAACAATGAGCTTATGAAAATCATTGACTGGATCCCCAAAACATGGCATCATCTCAACAGCTTCCTAGAAACACACAGCTCTTCAGATGTAACCATTGGTGAGTCCACTGCTGGAATGGTTTGAAATAAGGATGCAGGCGGAGCATTTTAGGGATTTGTGAAAAATTTATTATTATTTTTTTAAGTTTCCACGTCTCAGTGAGAAGTACAACATAGGTGTGGGAATTTGTCTAGTTGTGAGCAAGCTTTAAAGGAAAATTGAAAGTTTAATGAGAGAGTATATATATTTCCTGGTAGTTCTTTGTTGCTAAATACTTTCAAGTAAAAATATCACTATTTTAAAAACTAAATTTAAAAAAATACCCCGATAGTAACTTTCCTAAGCTTAATTATTTTCTCCTGCTTTCACACTGCAGTATAATTACAGCAATAAAAAAACTTGGACCTGAGGTCTTTTAATGAAATAACTCTGTTAGCAAAGATGTCAGCTTTTACATAGCTTTGACATAAAACTTGTAAGTGTTCATCAAGCCCTAAAATTGGACTAAGGGACACCAGTTCATTTTTAATAACAGAGACTGTTAGCTCCTTTAATGTAGTCCTGTTTTAATATTCTCTGGACTTGAGCTTGTTCCGGTACTGCTCTTTTAATTTTGAGAAGATTATTTTCAGTTTGTTTCCTAGTTATACCCTTTTAATACTCGACTTGACTTCTCAGGCCCCCGCCTCTTCCTCCCTTGCCCTATGGACGTTGATGGCTCCAGAGTGTGGTTCACAGACCTTTGGAACTATTCCCTGGTTCCGTATCTTCTGGAAGCTGTGAGAGAAGGACTCCAGGTATGTAATTTGTTTCCTAGAAATTTTTTTAATTGCTTTCAAAGGCTTTCTCCAAGCTGTTTTTAAACAGTGCATCCTAGTATAAATGCTATTGCAAGAGGAAAATCTTTGGAGGGGTTATAGAAGGCAGACTCAAATTCCTTTTGGCCTGCTCTTACTCTGCTGTATAATTTGACTTTGTAACATATCTTATTATGGATTTTATGAAGAGGGTTTCTTCTCTATGACTGGAGGAAGGTGGTTTTTTCCATTGTTTAAAGAGTTTCCAGCATGGTTAAATTCAGCTCAGATTGTCTTCCTGAGTCAAGGCAGTCTCAGCCTACCCCTGAGTGGAACAGTTAATGAGCTTTACACTGGTGCCAGAAAATAGCTCCTACCACCTACATACACATGTAGGCACACAGATTTGTGGGGAAAAGTTTGTGAACAAAGATGTTTTCATAAGGCTTGGATTGGAAGGAACCTAAAAGATATATTATTCCTGGCTGTGAACACTTCCAGGGATGGGGCATCCACAACTTTTCTGGGCAGCTTTTTCCAGTGCCTCACTACCCTTACTGTAAAGAATTTCTTCCTAACATCTAATCTAAATCTCTCCTGTCTTAGTTTAAAACCATTCTCCCTTGTCCTAACACTATCTGCCCACATTAAAATGTTGTTCCCACTCATTTTTATAAGCCCCCTGGAAGGTTGCAATGAGGTCTTCACCAGGAAGGAAAACTCTCTTGATTATACCAGAGGTTAGGATTTTGGATAATTCCACATCTTTGGAGGAAACTTAAATATTTACATTAATCCAGTCTCTCTTTTTTTGTATTTTTCCCCCAGTCTTTAATTGGCTTTCACACTTTTCTTTTTTTTTTTTTTTTTTTTGTTTTGTTTTGTTTTGGGGTTTTTTTTGGTTTTTTTTTTTGTTTGTTTTTTTTGGGGTTTGGTTTTTTTTTTTTTTTTTGGTTTTTGGTTTTTTTGTTTATGCACAGCAATTCTATATACTCTAAAAATATGCTTTCTGGGAAGGCATTTTTTTCCACACATGACACCAAAATATATTACTGCATATTAGTGCAGGAGGGATTGTTATGGACTAGGCAAAGAACTGTGTAAGCAGCTGCAGTTTCTTTATCACCTGTATTGACACTGTGACATACTGATGCAATGGAGGTTTAGAATCTTGCCTGTTGAATATCTCATGCTTTCCTAAAACTGCTTATCTCTCTGGGAATTACAGTGTTTATGCCTTGTGCAGAATACTGCCAAACATTTGCTAGAGCAGCCACAGTGAGATTAACAGCACTTGTTTAGACCAGCTATAAAAATGCAGTGATATTCTTCATGCTCATATTTTCCCAAGCATGCAGGGTAACTGCTTAAATGGAAACTTCAGTTGTGCAGCAGAAGATGGCAGCATATAGAAGAAAAATGTTTGTTTCATTAGCTGTACTAACTTTCAGCTACTTTGGATGGCTTCCATAGAATAAAGTTATTAATAATAAACAGAAATTTTTATATCGTATAATTAAGTGTTCCTGGAACCAAAGATGGATAAAAACTGACTTTCTGGTCAGGTGCTTTGCAAACTCACTTGTCAGACATAGGATTTACAAGCCTTGCTCTACATTCCAGAAAAGATTTAGTCACTGTTAATCTCAGATGAAAGGAAGTGCTACAGCCTGGAATTAGCCTGCTACCTCCATTTCTCCTGGCTTATTTAGGCAAATCCCTTTTGTAGCAGCCTAGCCTCAGTGCAGGACAGAAAAAGTCTGAGTATCTGTGTGCCTAATGCAGGGAACTTGGCTCCCTAACCTGAAGCTCTGCATTCAGCATGTGCCTGGCAGCAGGTGTTGCAGTGATAAGCACAACCCATCCTTCTGCCTTTATCGCTAAAGTCCTCCCCTGTTATACTCCCTTTAGGAGCACAGCCCACCTATATCCTCCATGAGTGTGTGCCCTGCCAATAGCATGGTGTTCCTTGGATTGTGTGAAACTGTTTGAGGCAGCAGAAATTAAAAAAAGCCCTGGTGGATGGCTCCCCATCCCAGTGTATCATTGTCACAGCTAAAGGAAATCTTTAAAGCAGCTACCAAGTTAACATGCTGCTTGTGAACAGCAATACAGAGAGGGGTGAATTTTAGTGAGGATGCTACCAGATCTCCTAAAATTGCAATATTCTCATTCTTCCTCTGTCCTCCCCCCAGAGTCACAAGCATTTTATGCTTCATAGTGAGGAAAAATATATCTCTTGTGAAGTTCTTCTCTTAACCTTCTGTAAGTTATCACATTTAGGATGTGGACAGATGTCTGCTTCAGCATCTTATTTTTCTAGGAGAAGTGAACAATCTGTACTTCTAATTCACTTCAAACAAAATCCAATTAACTTGAATGCTTTTGATAGGTCTGTGTTAATTTCCCTGATATGCCTTAAGCAAAATACCTTGAGGTCTCATTTCACATTGTATCAAAGCACTTGGTGCTGTCTACAAGTGTCACTAGTTATGGAGCACTTTCCAACTTGCAGCCACTCTGTGTATTGAAGGATCATTGGTGGAGATGATCCAATCTCCTTAAGGTCTTATTTTACCTGAGTACTGAGAACATCCAAAAGCAAATCTCTAAAATGGTTTTGATGTTTATGATGACATTTTTTTCTGCTGTTATAACTGGTACTGAAAAGTCCGTAAAATACTTACGTGTCTTATATCCATAATGTAGATGTACGGTAAGAGGGCACCCTGGGAGGATCCCTCCAAGTGGGTGGCTGATACCTATCCATGGAGCTCTGCAACTCTACAGCATGAGTGGCCATCACTACTTCAGTTAAGGCCTGAAGACGTTGGTTATGAAGGTTATGCATCAGCAAAAGAAGGAACAACCTCTAAGCACGTTCCACAGACTGAGACAGAGGGGGATCCCTTGGTAAGATTCAAACTTTTGAATTCAAATATTCAGTATGCACTTTACTCTCACATGTTAAACTGTACACTGTGCAGTAAAAAAGTACTGTGCACCTCTTCCAGAACAGGCTTTTAAAATGCATCCTCCTATAATTTATGAAAATGTTGAAAATGAAAGGAAGCAGGAGGGCATGTATCACCAACACGTTAATATATCCTTACATTGTTTGTATTTCCCATCTGCCCAGATGTATCTGGTACCATGTATCAGGTCTTCATCATTATATTGTTTGGGAACCACTCTTCAGCAGCTTATTAATCAATTTTATAATGAAAACATCTTCATTCATCAGGCAATTTTGCATCTACATTATACAAATGAAGGACTGCAATATTCACATTATCTAACTTACCTATCATAGAGAATTTAGTGAAAATAGAAATTATCCATCCTCCCATTTCTCATAATATTTCAAGTCAACTGATGATTGTGTAATAGTCTTAATGCAGAAGGAATGCAAGTGTGGCAGCATTAAATGATAAGAAGTTGATTTCCCTCAATGCCAAGTATTGTTTTATTTAAATATGATCGCAGACATTCAGGTTTACCATTGCCTCCTCTGATAATGGACTATTAAAATGCATATGTTGAGCTGCTATTCTTTTGTAGTGCTTTCTCTGTGGACTGCCTTTATCACAATTCAAAATACCATTTTAGAGAATTCTATATTTCTAGAATAGGCAGCCCGTGGAAAAGGGAATTTCTCAGAGAAAAATGCACTGAACTCTTAACTGTGTTAAGAAAATGGTTCCTCAGCCTCAGTGTTTCATGTTCAAAAACAGTGTCCTGAAGAAGTGTAGAAAATCATCATATTTGAACTTATCTTCCATTCCATAAGCTTCCAGGTGATATTTTGACCATATGATTTGAGCTTCCAGTGAGTGTGTTGGACAGGCTTCCAGCACAGCATAATCTCCAGTGTGGTGAAAACTCAGTCTATGGGCAGCCTGAGTTCAGTTTCCACTCACCCCTGCTCCCTGCACATTGGGATCAGCATCTCTACCTGAGTAAATATCAGAAGCTTGAAAGTTGTGACTGGAGGGTTTGCCCCCACCTCCAGTGGAACTCATGGGTGGACAGACCCTGCCCTTGCAGCAACAGGACACGTCTCATGCAGGTTGTATTGAACACCCACTGCAGGTATCCTGTGTTCACAAGCATGGATATGTGTTAAAGCTTCAGCAAAACTACGCAAAAATGTTGAACACTGTTCAATGCCAAGAAAAATTTCACCATGCAAGTTGAAAGCATAAAGATATAAGGATTTCTGAACAAACTGGAAATAGGGGCTTAAAACACAAATTGCTAGGAATACATCTTTGGCTTTGACTTTTCTTTGCCTGCTTTTTATAACAGCAGTGAATTTGTTCCTTGAAAAACACTGAAGTACTCTTGATATTGCTTGCAGTCCTTAGCGTGCTGGCAGAAGTGGATGCTTTATAAATAAAATCCTGACCATTATATAGTCAAGCATCAAGCATCCAAGTAATTTTCTGGATCTTAATGCTGCTATTTGATTATTTTCAGATGGTTTTCAGGTACTATTAATCCCTAAATTATGGTGGGCTCTACCCTCCTGGGTAGGAGAATCTGTTGCTGTTTTGCTCCTAAGGGCAGCCCCCCAACAGCAGATGGGGCTCATTTATGTTACTGTGATTATGTTTTCAGTTGCTTTTCCAGTGTAATGCATCTAAACCATCCAAAAATTTTCTGGAAGCTTGACTGTCTCCAAATATGGGCCCAGATGTCCAGCTGAGATATGGCTTCCTTCCTCTGCCGGTGTTGCAGCTGCAGCTGGCCTCACCCCTGAATTAAAGAGAGTTATCAGGCAGCTCCATTTGTATCCCTCTTTGGACCTTTAAACTTCTATTTAAAATCAGAAAGCAATGGAAAGAGTGCCAGTAGGAGCTGCTAACACCCTGCCCTTTCTGAAATCCTTTTGTACGGTCCCTCCTCTAGGTACCAGCACACCTCATACGGCAGGGGAGTTTAATTAAGTTTTAACATGGTCACTGCAGTTTGAAATGAGACGAGATTATGTAAACATTGCTTTCTTCTTTCAGATGAATATGCTAATGAGGCTTCAAGAGGCAGCCAACTATTCGAGCGCACAGAGCTGTGACAGTGATAGCACCAGCCACCATGATGACATTTTGGATTCATCCCTTGAATCAACTCTCTGAAAGGGACAAATCTTGCTGTGGGATGATGGTAAAATCTGTTTCCACTAGACCACTGCCAGTATTAAAGCAGCACACTGAGGTCTCTCAGTAAGAACGGTGTGTTGTAGGGAGGCAGGAGACCTAACTCTGCAAAGTCAGGAAGAAAAATTGAAGTGGAAAGCTTGAATTAGTTTAATTTCAAGGCATTTCAATACCTATGGAGCCGAGTGAGACTCCATTTGTCAACTGGAAAGTGCCCTAGACCAAGGGCATCTGAGCAGATTGCACACGTGTTAGCCAAACTGGAATATTTTTTTTCCCTTATCCTCTTTCTCTCTCTCTGTCTCTCTGTGTTTCTCTGTACAAGTTTACAGCGAAACTTCTTTGGATTTTTTTTTCCTTTAGTTTATCCTGAGCTGCTGCATGAACAATGCAGTCTTCTAATTATCTTCTAACCTCTGTTGTGCCACATGGTGCTGGTCACAGGACGGCAGTGGTGTTTGTGTTATACACTACTGCCCATTCCAAAAGGAGTAAAAGATGATAGTAACTCAGAAAGCACAAACAGTATTGTGCAATCACCAGAAAACATGACTGTGATATGCTGGATAAGTGCCAATTTAATTCTAACTGCCATGGTCACGGTGATGCGCTCCATAAAGTTTTTAGTACACAAGTCACAGATTTTATAAAGTTATTTTTACCACAAGGGTCTTTTTTAACCGCCTGCCCACTCCTTAACAACAGTTTTCTACCAATTACTAACCAACACTGATGAAAGGCTTTTTAGGGCTTCATTTGTTTGAGCCTTTTCAGTGAAAGAAGGAACATTTCTTATGGTGCTGTCTCACTGCCTTAAAACAGATTTCTAGAACAGTTTTACAGTTGGTTTAATTCCTAAACCATTGGTAATTTACACTGTTTTTTTCTTCATTTACTAATGAGAAAACATCAGTTAACATAGTAGCCTCATATCTGTATATCATGATTTTTTAAAGTAATGGATACGAGAAAGAACAGTTGCTATATAATATTTTTATCTTGTGAATATATTTCTCTGCCTACCATCAGAAGTACACAAGGAACCCAAACCCACTTTCACTGCCACTTAAATGCTGACAAAATCGGCTCAAATCCATTTGGTCCCATGGAATGGAATTTATGGGAGGATAGATGTTTTGAATACTTATCCAGCAGAGCTGGATGCACTTGATGCAGCATGAGCACAAATATATGGGTTTGTTTTTTTTTTTTTTTCCTTTTTCTAGTTTCAGCATGTTGTTTTGATTGCTATAGTTGTACATGAAGAATTCAGCATAAAAGAACACTGAAGCAGTGATGTCCACTGTGGAAGAGGAAGAGTTTATACTGTAAAAGTGGGTTGGTTTTGCACAGTCTACTGGGTGGGTATTGTAAATATAGAGAAAAAGAAAAAAAAAAAAAGAAAAAAAAGCCTTGCACAAATCAAATCAAGAGCAAACAAACAAAAATATTGTATTTTATTCTGTTGGTGTTAAGAGATGTTTCACTTGCTGAGATTTCTTGTATGTTGCAAACAAATACAGAATGCAAAACCTAAAAGCTGTTATTACCCGGTGTGTTTGTCCTGTACTTAACAGTTGTTACGACTATGCAGGAGCTATCAATGCCACAGTTAGCACGTTTCAATATCTGTATGAAACCAATACATTTTGGGGGGAAAAGTCTGAAAATGTTTGAAATCCATATGTCACGGCAGGCTACAAGCAGACTGCATCTGGACTGCTCAGAGTAACCGGAAACACTCTTTTACCACCAGAGCCATGGTTAAAATAGGTGCACGTGAGCAAGAAGGTACCCAAGGGCTCTGGCATTGTGTAGTCACATACTGTACACCTCCATGGATGTTACCTTCGGGATGTGTATCTGGTGCTATTCACTCCTCGTGGCCACCCCGTGGCCGCCTGCTGTAACTTAAAGAAATCAATGCAGTTTCCAAATGGCACTGAGCTGCATCACTGAATCTAGAGGTTCCTACACGGTGCTATTGCCCTAATAAAACTCTGAATTTATGCACGTAGGATTCAGTCTGACCAACATCGTGCCCCCCAAACCTGGATCCATTTCTGATGCAAAATGTCAGTTCATACACCTTGACTGACTCAAAGAACTAAAGCAAAGCTGCTCTTTCTTGTACCTGTGCTCTGAGCAAACCTGCAAATCTTTTCCTGCCATATTTAGCTCACAAACACACAATATTACATATACAAAATTTCCTGCAATACATCTCAGTGAGTCCACCTAGTTTACAACTCAGAAATTGTTTGTGAAACATTTGTCTGTACACATTTTATATTTTGTACATTTTTGATGTAACATATCTTGTAAATAGACAGAAACAGTGAAATAAATCATCTGAAAATTTTTGTAGTCTTTGTAAAACCCTAATAATAAGTATTTGGTGTCATCGGACTTAACTGGATGATGTATTTTCTATTGGTTTGTTGTTCCTCTAGCTTGTAAACCAGCTTGCATATATTTTTTTTGCAGGTGTGCACACTGTATCTGTCTAAATTATTACTTTGCCATTAAAGTGGAATTATTTATTGAAAACACAGTCTGATGTTTTTGCAGTCAGGACTACTTAACAGATATTCTTTCAAATGTATGAATATGAAAACAAAATGACATACTGAAGGATGTGATTTTTCTGTATTCAGCACAACTAATCTCTGTAGAAACAAAATTAAGTACTGTTTCCAGTTCCAGTGATTCAGCAGGATTTTTGAATGGCTGTTTCCTTGGTGGGAACAGGTTATGCCATTCAGAAACAACTTCACAATCTCCCCATTCTCAGGATTATTTTAAAATACAGGCCTATTTATTTTAGTGACAAAAAGATCTATCCAAAACCTGTGAAGTATAATGCCTTATTTTGAAACTCAAAGAACTAAGGACTACTTCCTCAGCAGGTATACATCAATATTATTAGATAGAATTCAAACAAAGAAAGTATAATTGTCTTAGTTACCTAATCATAGACTTTGAGGTTGGAAGAGATCATTATGCTCCTACAAGTTGCAGCACCTCAGCTGTAAGTCTCAGCAGCTGGTCTGTAATTTCTCCTGGAAGTGCAATATCCCAGGAAAGACCTTTAGACATATTGGTACAGAGTAGAAGATTCATCACCTCATTAAAGATATGGGTAATTATTCACTGGGTGGTTTGGGTTTTTTAAGTGTTTTTTTTAAGATTTGCAGTTAAATCTTACATAACACTTTTTCAAGAGAATAATATCCCATACTGTCCTTTGTTATGCCCTTTATTCTTATACAAAAAAGAAAGTCACAATCAAAAACACCTTTTACAATAGTATTCTTTGCTTGTGTTTTAGATAAGACAGGCAGCTTGCTCATTCCTAGCTTTTCACAATAAGCCATGCCTTTCAGGCCTTAGTATGTTTATTGCAGGACTTTATGACTATGTGGTTTATCAGAGAGTCCATTCTGAAATGTGGGTATGAGAGCTGCACACAGCATTCCTGTCATGGTTTTACATTTGCTATAAACAGAGCTAATATCACCTTCTTACTCCCACTTCATATTTTCCCTGCTTAGGCTTCAGGGCTGACATTCACTCTCTAATTGCATCATCCCACTGCAAACTCATGTTCAGTTAATTATCTACCAAGACCCTGACTTCTTTTCATGTTCTATCACTTTGAAATACTTAGTCCAATCCTGTCAATATAAACTGTGCTCTTTCTTCCTTAGATATATGAGTGCAAATTTATCTGTATTAAAACAGGATATTAAAATCAGCCCACCCTACTAAATGATTAATTCTCTACAGTTATCATCTGTCTAATTAACAGCTTTGGCAGCTTCCATATTTTCCAAAACCTGCATTGTCATTTTACTGTGTTTTTCAGTTTGTACATAAAGGTAATAAGATATGTTTTGTCAAGAGCAGAGCCCTGTTCAATCCTGATAGAACCTTTCATGAAGCTTTCCTGTTTACAGCTACATTGTTTACAGCTCCTCCTGCCATGGGCATATTTGTACTTCAGTTAATATGGGTATAAGCATACAAAGTCACGTGTATATAATATTATGGGAAATACATGGGGAATTACATGGCTTCTCCATCAGTGTAGGTCTCCAAGGATAGATTAGATTTCTTTCTACTGAAAATTACTTATGTAGAGATTATCTTCCACAGAAAAAGGACTAGACTAGGGTGATCTCAGTGTGCCTTTCCTATAATTCAGTGCTGCAGTCTTTGCACGTTGTCCAGCTGCCATTACTTAAGGGAAAATGTATGAAATTTAATTGTTAATTTAATTGTTTCAGGTCTCCTGTCTCAGCATATCTACCTATTAACCTTCATCTGGAGACCTGCTTGGTGAATGCCAGCTTCCCATGACAGGAATGGGATAATGCAGCCTCAGAAAGAAGTGTTTTTAGCAAAGTACTTGAGACATTGCTCTTGCTTAGAAGAGCTCATTTTTTATGCTATCATTAACTAACTACAGTGTTTCTCAGCACATGCTTTTTCTTGATAACTGAATAATATCACACAAATTAAATGCTACCACTAAGTTTGGCAAGGCAAGAGCTCCAGATGCACTGTCATGGGAGAAATGTAATTCTGGTTATAATACTAGTAGCAGAAACTAGAATCTGTCATGAAAGATAAATTAACTAATGCCAAGGCCATGTGATCGTGCCTTCATACACTAAACTGCATTTACTATTCCTTCTTCAATTGCAACCTTAAACAAATGCTGATAAATAGCAATGAGAGAGCACACTGAATAATCATGTTATAAATAAAAATTTCATAAATTAAATTATGTTTCACCTTTGTTAGTGCATTCACTTGTTTTTCCAACAGTTTTTGTTAAATTAGATTATACAATTTAGGAAACTTATATGCATCTTGAAAATTAGATGCCATACCTGGAAGAAAAGACACCTGGTAACAAAATAAAGCATTTATGTGGTGACACATAACGAGCACTAATAATTTTATCCTGCCATATATGGATGGCTCTGACAGAACAAAGGAGCAGACAAAATACGTGTTACCTGTACAATGAAAGCCTAAGGACTTAGTGAATGAAAAAGTAATTTAAATTAGTTCATTGTATTTTAGCACTGATAATTCAATACACCTTAGATACGTTGTGCTGTGGCACACACAGTCTGAAAACAGAGTCTTCAGTGCAGGTAAGCTGTTCCACTCATGCAGGCCACATGCCAGAAAGACATATGGCTTCTGTACAGCAGTTCCTGAGCTACCAGACATAGTTTGTTGGCAGAATGAATAATTTAGCTCCATCATTACCACTCTCTTCATGTAACTGCCATGATCTTTAGTGTACTCTGTCCCTGTTTTGATCCCTGTCCCTGGATCAAGCTAGTGGCACTGTTTTGAACTAATGGTACCGACTCTTGATTGTGGCTGTGCAAAGTCACACTGGCGACAGAATTTTCATCTTAACTAACATTACAATGTAAATGTATTTTTCATCAAGAGGAAATAAGAAACATAAAAGCTATATAAGAAAACCTTTTTTTCTCATTAGTAATTACTCATTACTACTTAATGTCTTTGTATTACTGCTTTTGTAGAGTCAGTGTGTCTCAAATACTTTATAAGTAATTTTCTTGTAAAAACAAATTACGTTTCCAAGTATAAAATTATACTGCTTGTTTGAGAGCTGGTTATTATCTTGTATCAATCTACCAGCTTGTTTAACAAACTACATCCACACACAGTAAATTTCATCTCTAGCTTAAGGGTCTCTGGGGTTAAATAACATGCTTAGTCTTGCTATGTATTCTGTGTAAGTCATGTTCTTTAATTTCTGTCCTGAATATAGGGTTAAGCATGTGAAGTGCTTCCCTAATTTCAACTTCAGTGCCTGCAATTTATTCCTCCATAAACCATCATCTTCAGAGAATAAGATGGTCAGCCAACTGCTTCAAGATTCAGCTGAACATTGTAGCAACTGTGCAGAGTATTACAATCAAGAATTATAATGTAATTGCATGCTTAGGCACACTATTCAGTGGTTTGCCATTTTGCCAATTGTGGTGTTGAATAAAACCTGCAGACCATGATGGTAATCAGAATGGAGGGAGGCCTCCTCTTTTTCTGGAGTGGAGCAGCTGCTGGCAATAAAGCCTAACTGCCTATTTTTAGCTACAAGACAACAGAGAGGTTACTCCACCTAGGGAAAGACAGA